ATGTTTCAGAGAACAAAGTTAGGGGAAAAAAAAAAAAATCAAATCTCCTTAGTCAGCAGTGTTTTTACTCTGATCTTGTCCTCTAACGAAAGAAGTTCTATATATCATCACCTAATTTAGCATAAGATGATGCTAGATATTTGAGGCCAATTGAGGACAAGGGTCTTTATGAAACACTATTCCTGTTCAAACCACAGGTCTTCTTGTTTATTAGCTAAGATTCATACCCTGAAACCATCTTCCAAGGGCTCAAGCCTCTTGCAATTCTGATTGAAAGAAACAAATAAAAAAGACTTCAGTTATTGCAAACTTTACGATGTCTTTTTTTTTTTTTTTTTCCTTTTTTGTTTTTTTTTTAAATTGCAGTAGCTTACTGGTAAACATTATATGTAATCTTCTTCTTTTCTGAAAATAGCAAAAGAAATTATCCATCATAATTACATGTCCCTATGTCAAATTGCAAATGTGTAAATAATGGAAAGATTGGAACTTCTCAACAAATCAGCTGTACTTACATACCCTTACAGCACACATTCTTTTTTTCTGATTTCATTTTCAAAAATAGCTATATAATTTTGGGACTTTCCAAAATATCCAACCTCAGATATCTCAATTTACATTTTACATTAAAAATCTCTGACCAAATGGTTAGAATTTTGCCAAAACTATCTTTTACTGTCAAGGCCACTTTCCAGATGCCACAGAGATCCATGTCATCAATCAAAACTCTTTAAGCTGCCTTCTAGGTTCTATCACCTTATAACACTTGTGGAAACACATAGAAAAATGTAAAAATCACTGTCACACCGTCAGCTGGTCACTATAGTTTATATAATACCTTTTGAAGGAAGAAAGGATACTACCTATGATAAAAGGATAATAACTGGCAAAAAAGAAAAAAAAAGAAAAGAATAAAGTAGGAGATGCTTCAGTAAGTGTGTTTACAGAAGTTCCTTATTTATCTAATGTACTTGAAAATCAGTGCAGTGAACATACATCAGCAAAGTTGTTCCACTGAAAAACCGCTGTTCAAAGGAGATTAATACAAAGTGAGATCATAGAACAAAAGATCACTAAGGTTTTTTTTAAAGGAAAGATAGTAAGAAAGAACGGAAACAGGTAAAAATGAAGAGATATATAGAGACATCAGAATTTCACATCCCTTACTATCGAATAATGTGCACTGTAGAATAAAATATTCACAAAAATAAATTTCCAGTTCAAAATCCACTTTTTTTTTTTTTTAATGGATTCATCAAACCTGTTATCCAACAAGATTATTAATAGTTATCTTCCCCAATGTCTGAGAAGTGTTGTGAGCTGTCTGAGCACTTTGTCTTTGCATTGTTCATTTTTTCAGTTGTCTGGGAAAATACAGATTTAGTTATACATTTAAAAATGGAGTGCAGTCCATAATACAACTTAGCATTTCCAGCTAGCCTTGTGAGATGCAAAGAAGCTGGATAAATCAAGAAGAAAAAAAAGGTAATGAAAAAGATAAATTGACTATAACTAAAACATTGGGCCATTTCTCCTGGTTTTACTTGTAATTATTTTTTAAAATATAAACTGTTTATATACTATGTAAATTCTTTTACAATAAGCATTTACTACCTGCGTTTATAAGAGGATCGCTAATCACCCATATATATGTAGGTGATAAAGTGAATATAACCACAAGTTAGAGTAGTGAAAAGTATTATTATCTGCCTAGTGAGCGATCACTCTGCAGGGGGTAGAGTATTACTGAGTTGGAAAGCTTGCTCTAATTCAGATGCTTATAAAATAAATGAGGAGTACAGCAACAAGCAGTGCTTTCAAACTGTGAAAGAATAAGCAGTGTCATGAGAAATAACCAAAACAGTTCAATTTACTTAGCAATGTTTTGTTTCAAAAACATTAAAATATAATCAGAAAGGATAAAATAGGACCAGAAATAATGTGCTCTTGAATAAGATAACTGTAGGTAGACAGAGCTGCTCATCGACTAATTTCATACTAATATTTCATGCTCACTGTGACAACAGCAAGACACAGGACAGGATGGCATGTGTTTAGTTGCTGAATTTATGTTGCTTCATGATATTGTACTGAAAAGCATAGTATTAATTAACAGCAAAACCAGAAAAATACAGATAACAGCCTTACCTTTAAATCATAACCATGGTTCATTGAATGATCAGATTTTCTCTTCCAGGCATTCACTAAAGCAGAAAATCAATACGAGCACATTGTTTGACAAAAGCCCTTTTCCCCGCTTGAACTTGACCAGCCTCTGGTAACTGACAAGGCTTCGACCAGTATCTTCTATCTTACATGGAATACAGTGGAGAACAATGCTAAAAATGACAAAACACCTTCCACAAATTCAGGTACTCCTACCAATGTCCTTCCCTCTCACTTCTTACATCACTTGCCACTTGGGTGAATTTGCTGTGCAAAACCCATAGAGGAGCAGGGCAGGTCCTCGGGGCTGCACATCAGCCACCTCCTCAAAGCAGACAATTCTGCTTCACCAAGGCCAACCTGGCTGCCTCCTCACCTGGTGTAGATCCTCTGCTCACAGAGATGGAAACAGAAAACAGATGGAAAAGAAAAAAAAAAGGCTTTTGAGACTTTGCTCCTACCTACCCCTGTCAGGTTTTATGGGAGACGTTGATGTATGTGGCCTAAATTCAGAACTGGGCAGCAACAATAGGTTACCAGCAGCTTGGCAATTTAGGCAGATTATCTTAATACATATTTCTACTTACATGGACAGTGACTTTCATATTACATCTTTCACAGGCATACAGTATCGGGATGTGTCTTTCCCTTCAGCTCTAAACAGCTAAAAGTTACTGAGTAGAAAGAAAAAGGTCCAGTGACCAGTAGGCTGTGATCATATACTCATGCCAGATGATGAAGAGCAGAGGGAAGATTCCTGCTTAATACTTAACTGGCAGACTTGAGAAAGCCAACTTTTTTCTTGAATGAGCATAAGAAGTTATGAGCAGTAGTTTGTTCTCTACCTTCTTATAGGAGAAAGGCAGCCTGAAGGAGAGACAGGTGCCACAAGGGAAGTTATTTGATGAAAGCCTAAGGGTATCCATAACAAATGAATGCACTAATGGAGATCCCAGGATTCTTGCTGTGTTTTTAGCATTGAGTCCCTCCAGTACTCTCATGGAATTACTGTAGTCTTGTAATTCTTTTGAAGCAGATGAAATAGCTACAGACTGGACCCTGAAATCAGCATTTGAGACATCCCATACCCAGATAAAGTTATATCTGTATACAAGTAACCTGAGCGCTTCTACCTATGGCCTAGGAAAAGTAATACAAAAATTCTTGACTCGGTTCCTCATGAGTTTGGATGCAACATGCTCTCCTCCAGTACTTACCTCTGTTGGTGGAATTCAGACAGGTTGCTCTCTTAAACCTTCCCCAACACTGTACAGGATCATCAACAATAACTTACACTGGCTTTTCATTCCATTATACTTATCTTGGAACACTGTAAGACATCATTGCTAAATACAGTAAAACAAATCCAAATAGAGGTGTTTTTTTGTTTTTTTTTTTTTAATTTGAATTTTGAATTTGCAGGACAAACCTATACACAAGATCTCATGTGTATTCCACTGAATTCATCTGGAGCATTTAAACCCACGTTTGCTAAGTTCTTCTGTCCAGTTAATAAGGATACGTATTACAGCTTGGTGTTGCAGGAGGTGACTGTGCATAGGATCAAGAACCAAGCAAAATGAGTCAGAACCAGCAGCAGTCCTTTGTATCTCATTTCATTGCAGAGATCAAAATGATAGAGCTGGGAGGTGAACATCACAGGAGCAAGGAGCAATCCAGGACAACAGCCCCATCACTGAAGTATCTATGTATGTAGGAACAACATTTATTCATAGTATGTTAGAGATCAAGAGAGTTGAAAAACAGAGTCTATGAAAACAGAAGTAGAAAAGTCCTTGACTGTATAAGCACTGCTTTCCAACAACTAAAATCACCGGTGTGTTATCACCATTCTTTTCATCACAGATACTTAACACAGCTTCATATGAACATCTAGAGAGAAAACTAACCCTATCCCAGCACAAGCCATGACAAACAGTAAGACAACTCCTCTACTCTTGGGCTTTTCTTTTTCCTAAGTCTTGTTTCAGTGCTCTCACATGAGCCCTCAAGATAAAGAGGATTACTGGTAAGGCGCTTTCTCCCCTCTGACTCAGCATACATAACACAGAATTTCTCATTTTAGAAAACATGGTATTTCCCAATAGAACATGATTGCTGCTGCCAAAAATCACTCCCAAAAATAGGGCAAGTCTGTACTGCTGTGGATTAAGGTCAGAAACAGAATCTTAGTGTCTTTGTACTGAGCTTCTCTCAATCCGCTTCTGCTGCCCCTAGACTACTTCCTCTACAGTAGTTACAATACGTTACGTCCCTAATGACTGTCCCATCTAAAAATAAGTGCTCTTGACATGCAAGAGATGTCAGACTAGTGCAGCAGGATGCTGAAGCGTCTCTGGATGTGTAGCAGGGCTTCTCTTACACAGGACTGTGGCAATTTAGGAATTCACAGTTGATAAATGCAATAAAGGCGGCTTCTTTTTATCTCTTACAAACAGTGCCAAGACTGATATATTCCTGACCCTTATTTGGATCACTAGCTTATTCTTTTATGGTATTCACTGGAATGGCAAAATTCTAATGTTTCATTAGGCAAACATACACTGTAGCTACATATATAGCTTATATAGATAGATTGATATAATATATAGCTTATATAGATAGATAGATATAACTATGTATATACTTTTTCAGTGACATTACAGATGAACTATATAATTGACAACAGTCAGCTCAACGTTTTGCTTACATCTACATTTTCCTAAAAGTTAATTATACATGCATACAGAAGCATACTCTGTTTGTTCTGATACTGTTTTTCAAGCAAAGAGATAATGCCTGAACTTTGGAAAGTTTCTTACTCATAGCTAAAGTAACTCTTATTTGCTTTTATCTTTTTTTTTTTTTTTTTTTTTTTTTTTTCCCCAGACATTAACAGTAAAGCAATGGGCTTCTCTGCATTACATTGATGTTATTACTTGATTCAAAATCCTTGTCATTTTTTCTTTTTTCAAGGTGAATGAAAATCATGATGGAAGCTAAATTAAATGCAACTGTTTTTCTCAATAGCACTATATTATGTGACCTCTGATATGGGCTAGATTAAGCTGATTAAAGCCCTTCCAGAGCAAGGCCCTAGAGAAATAATCTGCCCTTGTTATCTACTATGGGAGGGAGGAAAAGATCATTTTCTCATTCCAATACTGGCATTTAGTTTTCTGAAACAACTACTTACAGAGAGCAAGTAGCATTACAGGTATTGATTCTTCCTCTTGCATCCATTTTAGGTAATGATTGCGTAGATACGTCTATGAGTAAGGAAGAATTTAATTTCTGAGAGCTGAGAACTGTACCTTTTCAGAATCTAGATAAAATTAGGCAAATAAATGGATTTAACAGAGGATGCTGAGTTTAAATCATTTAAGGAAGTTATTTTTAAATTCACAATTTTAATAGCTTTATTTTAAAATGTGTTAGTACTACAGCACAGAGATTTTCTTTCGTCAGGTACTTAACCAATCAATCCTGAGACTCTAAGAAAACTACACAGAAAAGCCATGTAACAGGAAACACGTAAACAGCCTCTAAAACTCCCCTGAACTCCTCCTTTTCTATTGATTGATTCTGCAAGGCAGACTACCATGTTTGGCAAAGGAAACTACACTGCCATATGTCTTAATGGCATTCAAAGATTCTTGACTGCTGTGGGTTGTGATTCATTTGTTGGCTAGGACATTTACTTATATCAGCTTGCTCTATGACTTTCCAAGTGTTATCTAATTCTTGTTTCAATAGAATTGTATGTCTTGTTTATCCAGTAAAGTGAACAACATCGACTGCCTTTTTTTTTTTTTTTTTTTTTAAATGTCTGATTTCAAAGAATAAAATGACTCTTCCGTCAGCAAAGTCATTCTGTCAGCAATCTTAACTTCTAGTCCTCATCAGGATACCTTCCTTGAGGACTGATATCCTTTTATATCTGATGAAACAGCAAAGACCCTTTCTCAGGAGGTGAAGTGGCAGGATGCTTTTTTACCTTTTGGAAAAAGTTAGAACCTTATCCAACACATACTGCGGAATTAATGCAAATTCTGAATAGGCTAGGAGAAAAAAAAAAATATTTTTTTTAAATGAAGTTTATGATGTCACCATAGTGTAAACTGCTCGTTAAGACCTCTGGCTTGCATTGTCTTTCCCCCCTTGACAAACTTGTAGGTTTTTTAGGCTGTTTCACTTCTCCCACCAATTCTTTCTTGTAAAGAAGAGTCAATAAAACACCAAAACTAAACATATTTTGGTGTGAAAGACAATTCATCCTTTACCAAAAATTAAATGCAGAACATCTACAAATAAAAAAAAGCCACATCACTTTACCAACCTTGTATTCCACAAGTACAAAGAACTTTCTAACCACTGCTACATGGTAAACATGACTTCCCACATTCGAAAACGCTTTCCATCACTGAAAAGTGTAAAGTTCAGTACACGGAAAGTAGCAGCAATGACCTGCTCAGCTTAAGCCAACTCAGCAAAACTTTCCATCTCTAGTATAGGCAATGCTTGGTCCTTCAGAAAAGTATGTATTAAGGCTGTAATGTTTTTGCTATTGCTTTTGATTCAGTTGCTTCTGCTTTCATGCTAGTCAGCAACGAGCTCCTTTACAACACCGCTCACCATGTTAGGGCAACACATTTGATGACTCTAACTTGGCTGTTCTAAGAGGATCCCATGAGTCAGAAGGGACATAGGCTTGCACATGGAACACAGTATTAAACAGGCTAGGTGTGCTCATACACCAGCAGAAAGATTACACTGCAAGCCATACACAAATCTACATCTTTACAGTCTCTTCTAGATTTGGTTGCTTTTTCCCTGTAGTATTGATGGAATCCTTGTCAATTAAACCATCCATTTTAGATTTAAAAAAAAAAAAAAAAACCCTCCAGAATCCTTTTCTAATTTTTTTCCCCAGAATTCTGAAGTATAATAAATGATTGCCTGGCTCAAATATCTGTAAAAATGGTTTGGAAAACAGAGATGACAGACATCAGCTGAGCTTGTTGCATGTTGCTTGAAGGCCCAGTATTATTCTGCCCTGTTTGAACACATGAATGTTACCACATAAACTTACCATCCTAATATTAAACACATTGCTGTTTGTTCTCCAATGGCAAAGAATTTACATCATCTTCCACTCAGAACAAGTAATGAAATAACACAGTTTCAGTCAAAAGAGTAGTTTTTCTTTTTTGTGTGAATAAGAAGTTAAAAAAAAAAAATATTCAAGATCCCTCTAGGTCTCTACAACCTATTGTAGGGTATCTGCTTTAGCAGGGGAGTTGGACTCAATCTTGAGATCCCTTTCAAACCCTGCAATTCTGTGATAAAGATCGTCAAACATGGTAATAAAAGCTTGTAAGCTAATGCATTTCTGATCAATTTAGTGAAGAAATTCTTCTGGAATCTACAAAACTGCAACATTTGAAAACTAAGTATTTTCCCTTTGTCAGGAAAGATGTTCCTGTTTTGTTTGAAAATTAAATTTGGGAATTCATAAACCTTCCTGAACCACTGGATAATTTGCAGTTGACAGATATTCTTAATAAGCTAGGGAAAAAGCTTTCACTAATCAGTTTGTGAAAGATGTATGTTTAGAAATCACTCCAGAAAACATACTCACCCATTACATCTCTAATATTGATATTACATATTTTGTGAATCCTGCCTTCACCAAATTCCTTTCATTTGCTTTCCTGATGGGGCTTTATCCTGTTGTTCTCTTAAAAATGAAATAGATCTTATTTCAAGATTCTAATTTAAAAAAATAATGCTGTTTAGAAGTTGCATCCTTACTTCTTGTGTAAGGGACAATCAAGTAGCAACAGCAGTGGCAGTCAACAATGGAACAGTTGCTACAAGTACCTGCACCTTATTCTGAGAGCTTGTTAAACTCCCAGTTCAATAAAACTCTTTCAAAATTTCAAAGTGCCATGGTAATTCCCATTTCTCAAACTTGCAATTAAGTAGCTTACTAAACTCGAGCCAAAACCCACAATATCATCTCAGTGTATATAAACACTGTTCCATGTAAAAAATTCTCCACTGCAAAATATTAAAGAAACTACAGTGTCTGATCAATACTAAATATAGGTACTCAGTGAAGGTAATAGGTAAATACCTAAGGTATACCTTATACCTTATAATATAGGTAACCAGTGAAGCTTAAAAGCTAACTCATTAACTGAATTAAAGGCATAAGAAAAAAATTCCAAATTTGTGTAAAAGTATCTTTACTAAAAAACTTACGTATATCATTTGAGTTGAATAAGCAAATTACATTACTGATACTGACAAGAACTCAGTGAAATGACTGCCAATTATCTTTTTTGCCCAGAAAGCATTCAGTGATAACAAGGAAACAAGATTACATCACATGTGGAATCATTTAAGAAAAGTCAATGTAAAAATAGCAATCATATTTCTAACTGCATTTTCCCCATTTGTTTTCCAGAATAAGTAAGAGTACAAACATCACTTGGATCACTTTTCATTCTCATCCTCAGGTTCACTGTCTTCACTATCACTGTCTCTTCCAGGGTGTTCTGGCATTGTTCGATGTTCATCCACTTCTGACACCTTCAATTCTTCCTTTACCATTTCTTCTTCTACCTTATTTTCTTCTGCATCTTCCTGAATACCCTGCACTTCAACTTCTGCTTCAGACTCTTGAGTTTGAGTAGTTTCAGGCTCTTCAATCATGGCAGGTGGGGGTAATAAACGCTGGATGATTAAAAAAAAAAAAAAAAAAAGTTTTCAGTTTTTACAACAAATATATCGTTCTGGCATTTATTTCTATTTTAGCTCAAGCTGTTTGTTCACTTTAGATTTAGGGCTTTGCATCAGGTAAGTTTAAGAACTTAAAATTTAGAAGACTTAATCATTTGTAGGCATTTTTCTCCTATACACATAAAATGAACCATCTTGGCTCACACACGAGTCTTATTCTTTTTGCCTGAAAAGCAAGTGTTAAAACACAGTACTTTCAATTCAAGGATATCAAACACGTTTCATTATCCGAACAGCCACTCAAGTAATGGGACTACAGGGCTGCTGAAGCAACAAGCTCATTTCTACCATAACCTCACCTATTACCATTACAAACTCCTAGATAAGCTGGACTTATCTTTTTTCTTATTCCAGTAATTTCCCCTTGAAATATCTTATAAAATCTTATATGCACATTATCTGTATTTATATAAGTTTCACCCACAGCTCTAAGTGTAGAAAAATGTAACTCCAGTAACAGATTAGGTAATGCTTAGATATTTTTCACATAATACTTCTGTAGAAGTATTTTAGTGCAAAGTGCAAACCAAGAACCTGGTTTGCTAGCAGAAAGCATTACAAATAGCAGTGGCAACTACTTTAGACCTGGAAAAAAAAAACCCCAACCAAGTATACAGTATGCAGAAGATTATGATGAAGCTATTCAACCTCAGACTGTATAGAAATGCTTATACTTCTGCCAGACATCATCTAATGACATGACAGATATTTCCTTAAAATATTTTAATGAAATAGAAGCTTGATAAATCTGCAAGGATGGTTGTTTAGTTACATTTTGCTTAAAGGCAACTCGGTTTCACTTGACAAATTAAGTGTTTAATTACAGTAAAGTCTTATCTTCAATTAGATGACATTAATATTACAAGTTTCTGACAAGCATTGGGCCAATCTATGCAAAAATTGTGACTACCAGCAAAGAAAAGCATTTTTTTCACAGACTTTGAAGTTATCACACTAATCTCCATAATCCATTTACTCATGGAAAAAAAGAATAATTAAAAGAGCTCTGATTTTGAAACAACAAATATATATATAAAGTATAGAAAAGTATAAAAAGTGAGAAAGTCATTTACCACTACCTCTTACATACATATATACACCTCATATGTAAGTGTATGTATATATATATATATATATATATATATATATATATAAAACCTCAAAGTATGAGACAAACTCAGATTTTCTGTAATGCAGCTAGATTCATGCTGTGCTTTGTGACTACTGTTAAGACCAATGGAAAAAAAAATACAATGATGTAAAAATATCAGAAAGGATAAGGAAAACTTCATTTTTTGGCTTCTGCTGTAGTAGTATGATTCATTGCCACAGCAGGGAACCAGTTTTTTTTCTTTTTTTTTTTTTTTTAAACTAATTTTAGCTAGCAACATAAGACTAGGATGCTAAAAAGAATATCTGTTTATAAGCCGAAGGTTCAGGTGCACATTCAGTTAAGGAGTCAAATAAACCTTGCATTAGAGAACAGAAACTAGATCTCTCAGACAAATGGAATCATGCTGATGCTCTCTGCACAATCAGATGGCATTACTTTTACATCAGTATTTTCCGCCTTGAGAAATTCTTCAGAAGAGCAAAAACCAACAAGGGAATAAATACTAAGTAAGAGTACATTATAAGTAACATGATATACCCAGACATTAAATGGAAGGTGTTCCAGTTCAGGAATAGCATTAAAGATCTCTCTGGTTATGCTAACTGTCAACTATCTCTAGCCATCCGCAGATCCAAATACACTGACTAAAAGCAGATCTCTATATACTACTTAAACTGTTTTAAAGCTCTGCTTACATACATAGTAAGGACTCAAGATCCCCAATGGGTTTTGAATTCTGCTCCAGGGATTAAGCAGTGATACAATTAAGTATAAAAAGTGAGAAAGTCATCTACCACTACCTCTTACACTGTACTATTAAGTGACATGCTGAACCAGTGCTGAAAAAAAAATATTCTTCCAGACTTGCACACACAAGTACTACAGCTGCTAACCAGACTGAATAATGCAGTGAGCTAACTCGATTAAAATGGTTTGAAGGCAAGGAAACTCTAAAACTCTGTAGGCTGCAGCCATGTCAAGAAAGTATCTATTACAAAATACTATTCCACCAGGCAGCACTTACTGAAATATAACGCACAAGTTTACTTCAATTAAACACTGGGCAAGCTAGTTCCCTGGCATTAACAAAGAACTTTTGCACCCAGACAGAATCACGTCTAGCATTTTTTAACATCTATTTAGGGGATCTTAAATTGCATCCTGAGTCACTTGCTACTGCAAGATTTTAGAGATTTCAATATTCTCCCTCTCAGCTTTAAAGCCTTCTTGAATTTTAAATGTAACAGTAACAGTCTCAAACCACAACAGCACTTCCTGTTACCAAAATAAGGCTTATTTTGTATGCACACCTTTGAATAGTTAGAAGGTCCTTACCTGTTGGTAGTGGCGTGTACTCTGTATCATGTGCATATACATGTTGTAAACAAAGTTAGCCATTTGAGGCATATTCTTGATAACATGTATTTGGTGAGTCGGTGGTTCCCCATTCTAAAGAAGTACAAAATGTAGAAATTCAGCAAGCAAACACAACCATTATTCAAAAAATTATTTTATTGTATTAGGAAACAACTGAAGAAATTTTAAAAAATGCTTTCTAAGAAAGAACTAGCAAAATTCTTTCAAAAGGCAAGAAATACAGGTCATGCACTTTTTGGCAACCGTTATTTATCATGATCCTGAAGTCCAATGAAGAAATTCAATTTCAAAAGGACAGGCTGGGTTCCAACACTTAATCTGTAAATTATATTTTGGATTCAAGGATGATTTAACTAAAACTTAACTAGTTTCAGCTCAGATTAGTGTCAATGACTACCAAAGCTCAGCTTCTCCTTGCCTACACTCACACTGTTCTTTGCTGTAGAATGCAGCAGTTTCAAACAAAGGGCTTTCTTCCAAACTTGTTAACAGCACTTTAGACCAGGTAAAGATTTCTAATGGAGTTTTGGATTCACGCAAGTACCCGTCTCCAAACTCCAGGTAGCAAAGCAGGTATTCCCCATCCATTTCTTACTTGTTTAGCATCCTATTCATTGCGAGTCTTGTGATTAAGTGCTAAAGATCTAGTGCAGTATTAAATTTTTTACTTAGGCATCTAGTTCAGCAACACTTCTGTTATACTGAATTGCTCAGCTGAATGCTATTTAACCTTTAATAAAAAGAAACTAGCTTTGTACTTCCTTTTTGAGAAATGACATTTTGTTCTATAATAAGAAAAAATACATAACACACTGCAAAACCTTACTTATTTATCCTGAAATAAAAATACAGCATCACTTCCACAGGCAGAACTTACAAATAAGTAGACAAAACTGACCAGTTACAGTGGTAAATTAGTTTTGTTGAAAAATCAGTTAAAAGCAGCTAGTGTAAAACGATCTAAGTTAACTCTAGGGATATAATTATCCAAGAAGCAGTGGTTTAAAAGCAAAGACACTGCAGTTCATGTCTTGTAGCCCACTCAAAAAAGACAAGCAAAAAGCACACCAGTGACATTCATAGCAGTCGTTCCTACCTGTCTTGCTGCTGGAAAACATTCTGTGGGAATTATATGGAGGTGAAGTGGTCTAGCTGTGAGTTGGCTGAAAGCTGGAGTTAGCTCAAAACAGTTCTGAAAGAGTGATACTCTAGCAAAGATATAAAGCCCAAGCCTGGCTCTTGACATGGCAACAACTAATCGTCGGACATCTCTTAAAAAAAAAAAAAAAAAAAAAAAAAAAAAAAAAAAAAAAAAAAAAAAAAAAGCCAAATTAATCATATACTTTTTCACTGATTCCATTGTTTCAGTAAAACATGAATTAAGACTTCAGCATGCTTCTTTTAAGAAAACATGAAGTAATCTTAAACACTCTTGTCTTAAATTTTTCTTCTACATACTGCTACAATAACTACTAAAATCCTAAAACCTTCATATAAAAAGGCTTACTATATTGTTAATTATATTAAAATTACCCTTTATCTCTGAAGCCTAGAAAAACAGTTATATTTTACATTGGGAACAAATCACAATAGCCTTTCTGTATCCCTGAATAAGAAAACATAGGTTCTGATATCATCTTACTACTCCTAAATAGACAAGTCTTACTCCACCTTACTCCAAAGCTGAAGTGCAAACATTTTAGACTACAAATAACACAACTTACAAAGTGTCCAAACACTTCTGATACAAAACAAATAAAGCTCACTTATAGAAAAGTTCATTTATAGAAAGTTTAAGCCTGCATTTATTCAACAAGCATTAATTACATTCCTCTTAATCTACTAAATTAAAATTCAAATTCAGGAGTAACTATCCAAGACTACCTGTTCAACTACCTACTATTCAAGACTACGTGCAATAACATAAACTTCTTATAGAGTACTAGTATAGTATGTAGAATATAGTATAGTAATATAGAGTAAAGGATAAAGTGGTTGCAAAGAGAGAAGCAGAGTGTTGTAAAAATAAACCAGGTTTAAACTTCCTCCAATGCACAGCATTAAACTTCAGTTCCGCTACGTACTGAAAGAGTTGAAACTTTGTGCAACATATCAAACATCTTTCTGATGTGGAAAATGTATACTTCAGCAACTATGCAAGAGTTCTTTTCTACATACCTAAGGTGGCCTACAGCTTTGGTACGCACTAATGAAAGGAGAATATAATCATTTTGTTGACCTTGAAATCTGTCCACAGTTGTTACCTAGAGAATAAAAAACAAAACAAAAACCACCATAGGTTAAATCTTTGCCATTTTAACTACAGCCTGACATCAAAATTTTAGCACAAACTTCTGATTCAGATTGTAGTAAATGGGAAGACAGACGAAAATATTTGATTCTGATTTAATTCACCTTTAACTAAAAGACATCAACCTACTCTTCCTGGGAGAAGCTGAGACTATACGTACCACTTCTTATTTTTACTTAATTCAGACATAACTCTGGCAAGATAATACCAAAAGTTTGTGGAAAACGATCAAATTCTGTAACACCATATTTTAACCTGTAGACACCAGACTTATGTAAATACATTTCTGTATGTTTTATAATATTCTTCATTATGCATTTTACCAAATCCAAACCATATCCACTCTAGGTGAATATATTTATTTTTTAAAAGGAGGACAAAATATATGACAAAGAAAAGAATTTTTCTGTCTCATATAGTCCGTGACATATCAAACTTGACTGATTTCACAGTTTCTTTGTACAACTAGTTTCAAACACGCGAACAAGATGATATGACTCTGTGAAATAAAATGTATGTTGACAAATACATGCTATACGTATACATTAGTCAATGAATACTTGCATAAAAAGTAGGGAATGTATTTAATCACTTGTATAATATGATAATCATGAAAAAACAGAACCACTTCAATGCCCAATATATTTTTTAAGTCACCTTGTTTGGCCGTCCAATCAATGGATTATTTCCACAACGCTGGTTAATGACATCTCGGATCAGATGTTTCTGCCCGTTGTACGTTGTCAGGATACTTATCCTGTCTGCAGGATAACCAAGCAGGCACATATACATGAAAAGTGCCACAACATATTCTGCTTCACCAAGATTCTGAAAGGACAGAGAAAAAGAAAGTTATTTATTTGCAAGCTTGATAGGCATTCATTGATGCTTTCTAGTATCTACAAGAAGTACTGTTTTACTTGTTAAAATCTAAATATTCATTAGCCATAAAATATATTAATATTTACTTGTTTGAAAAATTTAAAATGTTCAGTGTCTGAAATATTCACACCTGAATGTATTTCTATACCTAGAGCTGTCTGCCCAAAGGAATGTCATCTTATTACAGCATTACAGAACTCAACAAGTGCCAGTACACACAAAACCTCATCTCTTATGCAAAACTGTGGAACCATAATTTGTTAAGTATTAAAAGTTGACAGTGTAGAGATATTAGAATTTAAAATTGAAGGATTTAAAAACAGAGAAATGAAAAAAGAGCATTGCTTAGCGCTAATTTAATAAGGCTCAAAAAAAAAAAAAAAAAAAAAAGTTGCAATTAATCACTCTCCAGTATGCTAAAAGCAAAAATTGAACTAAAATAATTAAACTTCTTTCAACTCTTTTTTTTTTTTCTTTTTCTCTCTACAATTAAAATAATAGTCCCAGATCATTCTTCTGGATGTTGGAAGGTTTCATTATTTTATGAATGCAGTTTTATAAAATATACAGATTTTTAAAATATACAGATGTTTATATACAGATTAAATCAAAACACTGACTCCTCAAACTCAAGTATCCACCACAGAGCAAACTTCGATATTTTATACAGTAGAATTCTACCATTTATTTCACTGTCATGACAATACAGCAGAACTAAACATCTTTGCCATAGGCCAAAATGTTTCATAATTAATTACATATCAAATCTCTCTCCCCCAATGACTTTGAGCAAACGGAGATAGCAAGAAGAATCATTCACTTGGAGCAAAAGGGCATAACAAATTATCATCCTTTTCAACATTCAGATTGATTACAAGGAGAAAAAAAATCATGTATATACACAACCAAAAGTCTGAGAACATAACTATCAGCTTACAGAATTTTGATTCATTGCAGATTAAAAAAAACATATCTAGATAAAATAAAGTATACATTCAGTATTTCTCTTACCTGATAGAAATAAGGATTGGGTTCAGACTCTCCCACACCATTGAAGTCTTCTACATTTATAAGTTGGAAGTCGTATAAAAACCCAGCGTTGGCTGTTCTGAACTCTGGCATAAGCTGCACATGAGGTAGATTACCCAGATTTTTATAACGCCAGTTGTAGAGGTTACATAAACTGCCCGAAAAACACACAAGCAGTTAACACGGGTTTTTGAACTCAACACTCAACATTTTATTATTATTGCTATTACTATTTTAGTTTTTGATTTTTGTCCAGTTGGCAGAAAACTCAAAAAAACTGCTGAAAGAACCATAGTATACTCCATTTTTCAAATTGAGAACAAAGACACGAACATTTTAATTGTAAAGCTTTCAGAAAGGATTTCGGCAGCGCTCCTCAAATGATGCAGCTACCACAAACTTTGTTTGTGCTAACTTGCCTCCTAGTCTGAGCTGAAATCAATGGCACAAAACAGCTAAATCTTCACTTTGCACAGACTCTTGTCTTAACAACCCAAAGTTTCCAATACTGTAAGTTTGCTTCTCCGATTCTTAACCTGGCACTAGACAAACATGCAGTTTTATTTCACTCACCTTGCTCTTGCTCTTCCTTGTGCATCCAAATCAACAGTTGGAACTCCGACACGAACAAACCGTGTGAAGAGGGACTGCTCCATGTTGGAGTATTTTTGAAAAGCCATGTTCTTAATGACTGGTGGCAACTGGTGATGGTCACCAATCATAATCCACCGCTTCAAACGACTGAATCCATCCTGAGGGTTCTAAAATCAATTAAAACAACGGTAAGTACTACAGTATAATCAAGGCATTCAATTAAAACACATAAACAGTCAAGTGGTTCACCCAAGAATTAGAATCCTGAAGGTTTCTGCCTGCCAGCTCTACAGTTCATATCTAATACTTTCCCACAGGAGAACTACTTGAGAGAGCCTGAAGTTCCTTCTCTTGACACTTGAAGAGCGCTGAAGCCCTCTCTAACGAGGGTGCAAGGAAGGAAAACTGAACTCTGTCCACCTCATCATGACAGAAGATACCCTAGTAAGAAAGTAAAAGGATGAAAATTTGGAGAAGTTCAAGTAACAAGAATAATTTGCTCTTATCAGTAGTTTCAAGCTCAGACAGCAAAGAGCTCTCCAAATAATTTTGTGTCCTTCTATGATGGAGTGATAGCATTGATGGACAAAATGAATGCAACTGATGACACCTACTTGGACTTCTGCAAGGCCATTGACATGGTCCCCCACCACATCTTCATCTCTGGATGAAGACTGGAGAGATACGGATTTGAAGGGTGGACTATTAAGTGGATAAGGAATTGGTTGTAAGGACACAGCCAGAGGTCAATGGTTTTATGTCCAGGTGGACGTCAGTCATGAATACTGTCCCCCCACAGGGGCCTGTTCTGGGACTAGTACTCTTTAACATGTTTATCAGTGACAAAGAACACGAGACATCAATCTGAGTGGTGCAGTAGATACAGCATAAGGAAGGGATGTCATCTAGAGAGACCTTGATAAACTTGAAAGCTGGGCCCATGTGAACCTAACAAGGTTCAACAAATCAAGCACACTTTGGTTGCACTTGCTGAGATGCAATTAGTGGTCCTGGTAGATAAAAAAAACTTAACATGAGCCAGCATCGTGTGACTGCAGTCCAGAAAGCCAACTATATTCCAGTCCACATCAGAAGAGGGGTGGCCAGCAGGGTCAGTAAGGTGATATCCCCTCTCTGCCCTTGTGAGGCCCCATCTGTAGTACTGTAACCAGTTTTGAGGCCCCGACACAGGGAAGAGGGTTCAGATTAGGGCTACAAAGATGATTAGAGGCCTGGAGCACCTTTCTTACAAAGACAGCCTGAAGGAGCTTCTCAGCTAGAGAAGAGAAGGCTACAAGGTGATCTCATTGCAGCATTCCAGTACCTAAAGCAAGCCTACAAACAGGAGGAGAATCAACTCATTACAAGAGTAGATAATGGCAGGACAAGAAGAAAAAGTTCTAAAGCTGAAGGAGGAAAGATTTAGGTTGGATATCAGGGGGAAGTTCTTTACCAAAGGTAAGTGAGGTGCTGGAATGGGCTGCCCAGAGAGGTTGTGGATGCCCCATCGCTGGAGGTGTTCAAGGCCAAGTTGGATGGGGCTGTGGCCAGCCTGGTCTAATGTTAGATATGGAGGTTGGCTGCCCTGCCTATGGCAGGGGGGTTAGAGCTTGATGATCCTTGAGGTCCCTTCCAACATAAGCCACTTAATGATTCTATGATCTACAAAAACCACAGTAAGAGCCATGCAGGATTTAATCATTTGTTACACAGCACCTTAGCAGCATTCAATTCAGGACTGAGAAAAGGCAAAAACAACATCCTAGAGTAACTTACACTGGTCTTCAGATTTAAATAGCCTAAATATCTAAAGACCAGCTTCCATTAGAAGTCACCTAAACTATAACTTATGCCTATATTCCCTTCAGGCAGCTAGAAGCACCTAACTAAGCAAAAAAAATAAAAAAATAAAAAAAAATCCTTGTATTTGCAAGAAACCTCATTGAATTTGTTTTCTCTCCAGACACTCCCAAAATAACAGAAATCTATGATCCTGCTCAGAGTTCAGGCCATTTAAAATCTATGTGTTAATTAATTAGTTGCCTATTTGCTCTGAGTTATCAAAACATGGTAGCCTTTACCACAACAAAAAGGTGATAAAATGCAACACTGATGTTTCCCAAACTGAAGAAAGATATCAACTGAGCTGGGAAAGCATGGGCTTTACCAGCAGCATGATTCTTGGACATGTACACTGTCTTGTACACTAAGGCTTATAATGAATTAACTCCTTCTAACTGTATTTGATACTCTATTGTTAAGGAGCTATGTGAGAAATTATGAGCTGTAATTAAAATATAGAAATCTTTCATGGAGATTCTGTTAAAATTCTTTGGATATGGCTTTCTAGAAGAATTTAGATTGTTCATTTTCAATGAAAACCACCACCTTCAAACAAAACTTCCAGAAAGGAAAGTCACTTTTAGAAAATGAGCAAACACAGACTGTATTTTTCAGAATCCACTAGAGTAAGAATCAAATGAACAACATAGGCTCTTAGTTTCACTAATTTCCCACTTATTATTTTCTGCTTAGCAGCTAAACAGTTCCGGAGAGAATCCACACTTTACTTCCAATGGTGAAATTTCATTTCATGATAATTTGAGATACAGAAAATACTAGAAAGCTGATTTAAAACTTGAAAGTCATTTAAGCCACAGATGTGCAAGAAGCACAGCTTTCTTTTTCCTGAAGGCCTACAGCTCTTAAAAGAAGGAAGTGATGCATCTCAAGCTGAGGTCACTAAAAGCAATCACAGAACTGGACCAGCAATCTTCACCTGAGGCACAACAAATTCAAAGATAGGCTAACTAAACACAATGAGTTTGAAAAAATCAGAGTAAATGCTTTTAGGAAAAGATACTTATTAATCAAAGAATACCCAGAGTTGTACAAAGGTCCCTTTCCAACTCCGTTGCAACAAACAGGGACATCCATAGCTAGGTCAGGTCACCCAGAACCTGATCCAGCCTTGCCTTGAAAGTCTCCAGGAAACAAGCATTCACACATCTCTGGACACTCAACTGCAACTGTAGCAGCATTAGCTGCTCTATTACAACAATCCCTTACCATCACAAAGACAGGGGATAAGACTTTCATTCAACTGTATCACATGTACATTACTTATCTACCAATTCTAGGTTTGAAAAATACAAGCTACAGATGATTCCAAGCTAGACATTTGCCAATGCAGCCAGATAAAAGTCGCTTAATTATTGGTCAAAAGTAGACAAAAAAGAACCAGTTTCTATTCCTCCCCTCTCACCTGCGGCAGTGTTGTAACCTCAGTTAAAATACTTAATTTCTACCAGGCTCTAGTTTTCCTGAAAGTTGTAGGTAACAGACATCCACTTAATCTCTCAGTTTTAACTACAACTGGCCAAACAAAACTGGCAGATGAGATGATAGAGAGCAATTATATAGGCCTTATGCTCTTGGGAAGCAGTTAAAACAGTTATTTCACAATAACTGCCAATTTAAAAAACTGATAAAATTATTAAAGATTTAACAACAGCTATGATATGGCAAAGAATAAAAGTAAAAGAATGACAAACCAAGGTACTAGTTCACTCACATTTCTTCACATTTTGAAAGTGAAACCCTGGCAGTCACAAACACTCAGGTCAAAATACAAGATACACAACTAATGAAGAAAAATGTGAAAGTTCTTAGTGTCGGCAAAACAGGAAATACCAGTTTTATGTTACCTTCCACACAAGATACTTTCCTTTTATTATTCTATATTATTCAAGAACATGGACTTTCAATTTTCATTTTTTTGCAGCATGTTTTATAATATAAGTCTAACCTGTAACAGGAGAGGTATAAAGGTTTCTATTTCCAGAATCTGTGCAGACTCTTCCATTAAGATGTTGTCATACTGAGAAAGAAAAAGTATACAGAAGTCCATCAGTCAAATAATACAAGTTAACACTGTTATTCAATCTACCAAAAGGGAGCATCAGTTGCTTAATTGGGGAATTAAAAGTTCTGTTTGTTTGTTTCTTTTCCTTAAGTAGGACAGTTACACAGCAGGATTTTACTCTATAAGCAAAATGCCAATAGACTAAAATCAGTTTCAGGGGGTGAAATCTTATTACATCAACAGCAAACCTATCCATACCAATCAGTCCTCAGATCTAGAAACAACCTGCATCTGAACTACATTATACTCTTTCCATACGCCATAATTCATCCTCAAGGGAAAAGCTTTCTGCAGTGAGGCAAACCAACTTGGTGTGAAACCAACTTGCAGTGATAAGTTGCACTTCTGTGATCCAGTGCATTATAGGAGAAAAACACTGAAAGAGATGAGGGCATCTGTCAATTTTTGTCAGAAATCTGCAGTAAATGAATCTCAGTGCAGAGCAAAAACAGCACTGTAACACAGTTCTTCTCAAATTGCTCCTTTGTAAAGTAAGCAATGCTGTAACAAAAGTGTCTTTCCCAGTTCATCCTTTCTTTTATTACCCAGTCATATAATGGCAGTTCACCTAATATGACAAAACTTTTTTTTTTATTTTAAATATGCATGCACTTTCAAGCATTTCAATATGTGCAACTTAAAATGTTACCATCTTTAACTTCTGGTTCTGTTAGAAAGAGTTTTCTTCAAAAAATTACTATTAGAAACATACTGGTAAAAACACGCAACTCAAAACAATCCAGTCACTTAGATCTAGGACAGATGAAAGGTCTGAATAAGATGGCCTAGGAGGGGGAAGGAGAGGAAGTGACAACATCATAAACAACAACAAAAATCTAGAAAACATGATTAGTGTTACTATTACAAATATAATTACTTTGAAGCCTAATTCAACCAGGTCGTGTCGTTTCAGAGCGGCATGGGTACAAGTCATAGCAATGATTTTTGCCTCTTTCACCAACAGGTATTTGGATCTATCCAGGCCACTGCGGAGAAGTTCAAATGCTCTGAATTCCTGCGATAGAAAAAATAATTGAATTGAGAGAAAATTTATATACAAACTTACAAAATGCACATAAAATGGGTGCTTCCTAAGCTCAAAATAAAACAGATTAGACTCTTGTCCCTATTGCAAAGTATGTCTAAATTACTTGAAGGGAGAAATGCTCACCAGGACGCCTTTCAAGCTAAAGAAGTTGCCTAGAGGTATATACTACTTCTAGGATTTAGGACAAATAAGAATTTTAGAACTTTATGAAGTTTCTTTAGGATTTACCAGAATTATTAACCTTTAACAGATACAGGTCTTACCTCAAGCTGAGTGAAGATTTTCTTTAGATGTCTAAAACACCCTTCAGCAATCTCCATATCTTCTTCATAGGATCTGCCTCTGAAAATTGGTTGAGGAGCATTTGCAAAATACTTATGAAAGGGAAAGAAACTGGACACATCTGTAACATCTGGTAATTTTCCACCTTTAACTTTCACTTTGCTGATATATTCTTCCCAACGAGACATTACCTATGGCAAACAAAAGTATCATACAGATGTATTTTTATATAATGAAGTCACTGGATACGTGTCATCTTGTATACCTAGTTAAAATGGTTATTTTTATTAAATCAATTCTCTTAAGTAACTTTTAACCACAAAACACATGTCTAAACTAGCACTTAATCTTGACACAAAGTAGGATGTATGAGGCTTTACTCTTTCATTCCCAGCTATTCTACCTCCTCCACACTCCTCATAAAGAACTGTTCCAGTATACGCCCTTCCCACAGAGTACAGTCCTTCAGAAAAAGACTTCTTGCCAGGAGCCTGCTCCATCATAGACTCTCTATAGGCTCCAGCTTCCCTGAAGACACATCCACTTGCTGCAGAATGTGCTTCTCCACAGGGTGCAGCGTGGAGATCTGCTCTACTGTAGTCCTCCATAGGTTGTTAAGATAAAAACTGCTTCACCATGGTCCTCTTCTCCAGAGCTCCAGAGGAACTTCTGCTTTGGCACCTGGAATCTCTTCTCCTTTCCCTCTTTATTCACTGACCTTGGTGTCCATGAGGCTGTTTCTCTCACATTATCTTCCATCTTCATATTTTCCTAATTATCTCTACTTAAAATACTTTTGTTTAAATACTAAAATGGATTCCTTCAGGAGGAAATTAAAACAGAAGATGAACTTGATCAGTGCTTCTATCGTAGTACACATCAACTCCTTTAATGTTTGGAACCATGCTACTGCTAACCCAAGGTAACTTCTCTCAAAACATATATGGTGTGGAGATTTGTTCCTAAGTACCACTCTACAAGTCTGCCTAAGCCATATTACTTGCTTAAGATGACTCTGTGTCTACATCAAACAGAAATGAGGGGTAGACAATATACAGAAAAATCATTGTTCTGTAGACTATGCATCTGATTTCAAACACAAAAGCTGTCTATAGGAGCAGTAAGTAGCAGCTGTAATATTTGTCCAAAATACAAAGCACTCCACAGATTTTCATAATTGAAGGGAAAACTCCAGGTTTGAAATCTTGTCAGTAGTAATAAAGCGTGTTAGTCTTATAATTAATATGAGTCAGGAATTAAAACAATATTAAATTAAAACAATAGCAATCTAAATAAATAATAAAGAGGGCTTTAGACATCTTATATTTTGAACCACTAAAGAAAATGTTTTTTTTTGAGACCTGATTCTGAAAAATTCTCTAATTTTCATAGTGTTTCATAACACACTGAGGTCATAAAGTCTCTGTAAAGTATTTCAATCCTTACTTGGTATAAGAAAAAGTGGCCAGCTGTTTCACAAGTGTAAGAAACATCTCCTGGAACACCAAGACTCTCTTGCAATCGCCCAACTTCTCGCAGGAGTTCAAGTCTTCGAGCCAGAACATAATTCACTCTTCCATACCTACAAAAATGAATTAAGGTTTTACTTATTTTGTATACAGACTTATTTAGTTCCAAACTGGTTTACGTAAGAATCAAAAAGAGAGATCACAAACACTTCTCCCAAAACCACAACTATGAAGGCTGCTCCAAAAGTAATGCTTCCTATTTTATTATAATAGACCACAACATCAGCAGAGGATGCTGGTGGTGTGGTATGCTGTATGGTGTAAAACGTGCACGTGCGTGTGTGAATATATGGATAATCACAAGTGAAACCAAACTGATAACCCAAGCTTTTGTGCAAGTCTAACTTCCTTTGGCAATATACAAAGTGCCTTGCAATAATGCTCAGCCTATCATAACAGACAGGTCTGCATCCATACATAGAAGGACACTGTTCTACTCAATGCTGCTCAGGAAAAACCTTGTATGTTGTTTGGGTGTTAAAAAACTGTTGTTGGGCTCTATCAGAAGAGGGGTGGCCAGCAGGGACGGGGAGGTAATTGTCCCCCTCTACTCTTCTCTTGTGAGGCCCCATCTGGAATACTGCATCCAAGTGTGGAGCCCGCAGTACAAAAAAAGACAGGGAGTTGTTGGAGAGGGTCCAGAGGAGAGCCACGAAGATGATTGGGGGACTAGAGCACCTCCCCTATGAAAACAGGCTGAGGGAGCTGGGCATTTTCAGCCTGGAGAAAAGAAGGCTGCGGGGTGACCTCATTGCAGCCTTTCAGTACCTGAAGGGAGCCCTCAAACAGGAGGGGAATCCTCCATCTGAAAGGGTTGATAACTGCAGGACAAGGGGAAATGGTTTTAAGTTGAGGGAGGGGAGATTTAGGTTGGATGCCAGGGGGAAATTCTTTACAGAGAGAGTGGTGAGGTGCTGGAACAGGCAGTCCAGAGAGTCTGTGGATGCCCCATCCCTGAAGGTGTTCAAGGCCAGGTTGGATGGGGCCCTGGGCAGCCTGGTCTAGTACTAAATGGGGAGGTTGGTGGCCCTGCATGTGGCAAGGGTGGTTGGAAATTCATGATCCTTGAAGTCCCTTCCAACCCTGGCCATTCTGTGATTCTGTTGTAATAAGAAAAATAAAAGGAAATCCCTGGGATCTCAGTGGCTTCTACTGTCTTATTTACAACAGTTTAAAAAGTTAAAACTGGTGATTTCAATTTAGAAAGACACAACTGAATGCGGTATTGTTCACAACCAAAAAACCAACTTTCTCAGGAACTGTGACAGTCAAAAGCCTTGTACTATTAGATCTTTTTTTTCCCTTCAGCAAAACTAATTCATCATTATTACAAGTTACTATAATCAGTTTTTTTTCCACGCTTCCAGATGTGCTATTGTTTTTCATGATTTAATAAGAACTCTCTGCTTCATTCATTCATTAATATAGGAATTTTCTTTAGCTGAGATCCTCTTTATTCTTAAGTACCAGTTTAAACAGTTCCTCTCCACCTTATGTTGTTAAAACTCCCAATATTTCTGTGTCTGCAGAGGGAGCAAAAAGTGAATAAGAAGCTTGCAAGTAGTCAAAATTCTTCAAGCAGCACCAGCTCTCTAGAGCAGTCTGACACAGAAAAAAAACCACTCTGAAGCAACATTAGAAGAAAACAAACAAACAACAAAAGGTATATAGGAAATAAACTTCTCCCTGTAGTACATTCCTCACCACAACTCTCCTTCTCAAACTGCCAGAACCCACAGAAATTTGCAGTACTGACCTGTAGGTCTACAATTACTCTGAAAGCAAATGAGAATAGATAATAATAGAAAATTTCATTTAATTGTGAGCATTACACTTCCAGGAAAGTGGAAACCATAGATTTTACTAAAATACATATCTACAATGATATCCTTTCACTAAGATTTTGGATACCAAATTTCTGGAAAAAAAAAAAAAGAAAAGATTATGTTCAATCAATCAAATCTGAAAAAAATCCCGAGGATTTCTTTTGCTAAATGAATCTCAATAACGTGTACATGATTAACTTCTCATAACTAAATAAAATTTTTACTGCATCTTTTGGAAGTCTAGGTATTGCTATAAAATCAAGTACTAGACAATCCAGTTATTTCCATTGCATGACCCTTATATCTCCTGCTTGCATTTATGAATGCTTGTAATCCCACTGACGTCAATTGGACTGGCATGTAACGTAAAGCATAGAAGCATTTACAAGAATAGGTTCATAATTCTTTGTACTGATGCACACTTGATAGCTTGCCTTACAGATGCATTCTTCAAAATATATTACCAATAAAATAAGTAATTTTAGTACTATTTAATATTCTGAAAAACTGGAAGCACAAAGTTTTATTTCTACTTTATGTGCATACAATATTCAGGAACAAGTAGAGGTGATATATTTGCACAAAAATTTCTAACTGCAAAAACTTTATTAAACTTTTCCCATAAAACAGATTAACTTCATAAAATACATACATGCCTAGAACATCGTAAGCTACTCTTATTGAAGCAGCTGAATTTGTGAATAACTGCCAGATCTGCCTTTGGATTCTCAAGGGAATACTTTTGTTACTGAATAAGAATCAAAATTACTTAATTCTATTCTGAAAGTAAAACTGCATTATTGGGATTCAACACTATGAAAAACTTGCCAAGCAGCTCCTTGCACATTTACAACACACATCTTAGCTATAATACTTACATAAACTATCTTTAGCACCTTCTTTCTTACCTGCTGAAGTCTTTCTCTGTCTCCAATTCCTCTTCTCCATGACCCAGGCGCAGGAGGTGGCGCTCATCAATGTCTAGAGCCATGATTTTTTCAAACAGCTGGTTCAAGGCCTAAAGATTGACAAGAACAGGAGAAAAGGTAGTTTTTAGAAGCTGTTGTAGAGAAAACCAAAGAATGACTGATAAACCAGCTAAGAAATAACATATATTATGGTACAATGAAAGCCAAAGAAAACATGGAGTATATGCTTAAGTTTGATTGTGTTAATCTTGACATTGGCAAGAGACATCAGTCTACTGAAACTCCTGTTCATGTGCTTCACAGATTTTCATTTATTCTGATTAAATCACTTAGTTTAAAAAAACAAACAAACAAACAAACCACTAGTTGATGAAGCTATCAAGCTTATCAAATAAGATAATTCTTAAAGAATTACATTTTGCAAACATAGGGTTGGTTGTTTTTTTTTTTTGTTTTGTTTTGTTTTTTGTTTGTTTGTTTGTTTGTTTGTTTTTAAAGATTACTTTGAACTAATTTTGTCATTTAATTTTTACTGTAAATTAGAATTGGAGTGCAATCTGGTACTGATTGGCAGGAACCATGACTATTCCATACGGATAAATGAATTTTGCTGAACTTCAGGGTGAGCTATGACTGATGCCTTAAACTCTTCAGCTCTCTAAAGCTTAGCATTAACCGTACAAAGTTTTAAGTACAGGGTCAAAGTATGAAACTAAGAATGAAGTACAAGTGGAGCCTGCTCATGCTTATTTCAACTGGAAAACATGCAAACACATTAAAGTATGGTACTAAAATACAACTCGTTATCTGAAGTCAATTCTAGCATGCATATGTTTGTGACTGTAAAACTCTGCATAAACTTTTTTCCCCTTGAAAAACACTTCCTGATTTCCAATCTCTTAAACAGTTAAATACCTGAAAATCTCTGCTAAACATCTTAGACTTACCTGAAATTCAAAAATTTCATCTACCATTTTAGCTTTTGCAAAACTGCTCACAAGTCATCATAAGTTTACACTTCTAAGAGACAACTGAGGCTTCAAACCTACTGATCTCAACATATGCTGCTCTTCTTGATTTTAACCACGGGAAAATTTCATGCATTACTATCACCTTACCTGATTAGAGTGGGTAACTATAAGAGTTCGTTGTTCTGGGAAATTATGATAGAGATTGGATATTATCTGGACTGCAACGTCAGTTTTCCCTGTACCAGGTGGACCTACTACCTAAAAACAAAACAAAAAAAATAAAGTAGTGAAATACAAAAAAAACACTCAATTTAACACAGTATTCCACAGCACAGAAATTTAGCCTGCCAGGAAGAACAGAGCAAGCTCACAAGACCTCCTAAGAGAAAAAAAAAAAAAACAACCAAAAACAATTCAGCCTCAAAACAGGCTACATATACAGGAAACAACAGGAAAACATAACTAAAAAATAATAAGGTAAGGGAAAGAATAGAAAACAGACTTCACTCTTCTCACTTACTCAGAAAAATTTGTAACTAATGATACAATACCAATAATTAATGTTTTCATAGGCTCAATTAGACTATCAACTTTAAGAAATTTTATACATAAGACATTTTAGGTATTATAAACTACTTCAAAAATTTTTTTCAGTAGAAGAAAGAATAGATGTCACACATCTACACATAAAATTTATAAACCGCAAAAAAAATCATGCTTGTTTTATTCAGACAGAGCATCTCATTAATTGTTAGACTTTAAAACAAGTAGGATTGTATTTCTCAATCATATTTGACAGAAACAAGTGGCAGAAACAAAAAAACAAAGCACAGGTTTATACTGTTTAACTGTAGCCTGCTTCTACTCTTCACAAAATATCACAGATGTTTTAAACAAAAAAAGAAAAACCGAAACACTCATAGAAACAAAAATGGCTTTGTCATTGTTTTTCCCCTTTAGACCACCAGACTCCGCCCTGTGACTCCTTTTAAAAGAAATCAACAAATGATTTTTTAGCTGTAAACTTAGAATTCTCTAAAAACCATCTTCTCAAAGATTTATGCTAGGTGTAGTACATCATCATTTCAAAACCCACTCAAACATGACACATGATAGATTATGATGCATTATACAGTTGCATTAGAAAGTCATTTATAGTCAACTAATACTAAGTGAGAATAATAAACAGTATGCAGTGCTATTTAAAATACAATCAAAAAAGACACTAGGTGATGGAAATATAATCTTCCCCTTGGTCCTGGTATTTTGTGTTAATTAAATAGTCAATAATGGTAGCAAAGACTGTAACTTCTGTCTTCTTTCTGTTGACAGTACAATAATGAAATAAAACTATTAAAACACTCCTATTCATTCTTGTGCATTCTTAAACAAATACTCAAAAAAAAAAAAAAAAAAACCACACCCTGTAACATTGTTAAAAAATCAAATTTAAAATTTATCACTGTGGCATTTTTACAGCATTCAAAAAAGTGACTTTTTATTTGTGAATAAACCTAAAATCAGTACCCTATCAGGAAACAGATAGTTCTGCTGTGCTGTAATAGAGAACGTACCACACTCAAAAACACTGTGAACTCAGGAACTTTTATGTACAGTTCAAGACAACACTAGTTTCAGCACATCTAGTCAGGCAATGACAAAAGGCGTACAACAATTCTACTGAAATTTGGTTTTTCCTTTGAGCTGCATTTTTTGTGCTAGCTATGCCGTGTCTAGAGTGTGGTAAAAACATGAGAATATGAAGGAGGAAAAATATATACAAATGAATACTACTACTACTACAACAAAACAAACAAACAAAAAAAACCCCTCAGAATTAGCATTAATGCCAATGTAGTCCAAGAAGAGATTAACGGCATTGAGCAGAGAAGTCACATGAGTACTCCACTGAGAAATCACTGCCAGGGTAATCTGTACTTCACTGGAATACAGGCACTTGTAGTCAGGTAAGCCTTGGAGACCGCTGCAGAATTTCACTGATCAAAAATTACTTTCCCAACAAATCTGCAACACTGATTTTTTTTATTTTTATTTTTTTAAACAGCTCCTTATATCTGTAAGTCAGCAGGATATAAAGGATAGTACATTAAATTTCACAGGACAGTAGAAAAAAAACTCCATAGGGATAACTCAATAACTTTTATTTCTTTTAACGCAGCTGTATCAGTTTTATTTTGATCTAAGTAATTTAAAGTGGTTTAAAAATAGCAGACATGACAAAAGCTAGAAATCTAAAATTATCAATCCAACCAATGAAAAAAAATTCAGTTGTTGAGTAAAGTCTTCAGTCATTAAGAGCGGATTCAGCCAAATACAGAGATCAAATATGAAATATTTATATATTATTTTCTCTTGTTCTAAGTTATTAATAAGTAAGAACTCTCACAAAGGCTACAGAAAAAGGCATTATGGGTGTTTCATTTAATGTACCTAGAAGCTAGAATCAAACAAACAAGAGCAGTTTAAAATATTCTTACCATAGTTAGTCCAGGTTGCATTCCTGCACGTATAGCTTCAATCTGAGTATGGGTAAATTGAATAGTATTGCTGTAACAAAGCAAGATAAAAGATCAAAAAAACCCACAGATTTTGCCAACGGTTTCAGTAATACTTTAAAAACAAATTTGCTTTAACTTAATTGGCTACACATTTCTCCAGAACTTCATGCCTCTAAACAAGACACTAAATTATATTGGCCAAATCACTACAAAATCACCCAGCTAACCAAAGTCTTTAGTTATTATCTACTGAGAGTACTGTAAAATTATTTAGCTATATTTCTCCTTTTTAATTCTTGAATAATACAGTGACGTGTTGAAATACCAAGTTAAATGACATTATTAGATTACCTGAAAATAGAGAAAACTGAACTACTTTTTTCTCCCTTCAGTAAGGAATCTCACACAGGCCTGTCAAAAATTCACTTCCAGGACTACCACAAGCAAGACGAGTTTTACTAAGGCTCTACTCTGCATGCTTTAAGTGCATGCCAGTATTTCTCATAATACTTTTCTATTTTATTTATTTATTTATTTATTAATAGAGATGATAAAAACACCAATGAAATACTCCTATATTCAACTCTTTTGGTAATGAAATCACAATTACATTTTTTTAAAAAAAGTATGTTTAGTTATGAAAATGAACTGTTAGCACTTTTAACCAAATTCACATACATCTATTACCGTTTTGGTTGATTATATGGATATGGTCCCCTGTTTGGAATGATGTGAGGCTCTACAATCAATGTTTTCACTTCTTCAGATTTTTCTTCATTCCCATCCTCTTTTCTTTTCTTTCCTTTACCTCCTGTTATTGGGAAAGTTATCCTGTAACATATAATTCAAATCTAAGCTTCAAAACATGCACCAGACTGTCTTACAAGTTCATACAGAAAGATTTCTTTTGTCACTGTTGAGTGAAACAATCATAATATAGATTCAAAGTATAGATGAGGACAAGAGAAAGGACTCTTAAGCAGACTAGGAGAGTATATTTGACAAGTACATCAAAAGTGTACTTTACGTAGCTTGAAAAGACAGGAGCAGTGCTTTAAGACAAGTGAAAGAATGCTGATAGCAAAGAGTTCAAAAACGAAACTGGAAGGGACAGGAGTCAAGATAGAACAGAAAGCCACTGGCACTGTCTGGTCAGCTGTAATAACCTGATTTTGTTCTAGAACTGATGGACACCTTAAAATGTGTCAATGCTCTAAACAGTTTCAATGCAAGGACTTTCATTCTCCCACTACAGCTTTACTTTTATAGTAAATGCTGTCAAGCATCTATACTTTAATTCAGCAACAAATTACGGAGGAGGAATTCCAGTAACAATCCAATCATCATGATTCAACAATGGAGACATTTATAGCATCAATAATGTTTTAGTCTCTTTATAAGACAAATACAGCAATACCTCTTCATATAGAAAAAAAATGTGAAAGTTAACAATAGTTCACCACAGGAAATTGCACGTGGTATGTATATGCAACTTCTTCAAACTACTGTCATAGAAATGACATACTGTTATTGCCTTCTCCACATGTACTCTACATGCAATGTTTGAAAAAAAGCTGAAAAAGCTACATACACTGAGAAATTCAGTTGCATAAGTATAAAGAAGCCAACAATGAAGAACATCACTTTCAAAACTAAAAATTAATCACTAATGTTTTGGACTGGACAACGACACCACTGAAACAAAACATGTAAATCTCATTTAGTGTTCAGAAAGGTAGGCATCTTCTTTCAGAAATAATTCCTAAAATAAAGCAAGCATACTAGCACATCAAACCTGATTATTTGTTTTTACTGAACAGTATTTCCACAAGCTCAAACTTTTATGGATTATGAAACTGCTGTACTGTTTTTTGCTTTAATGTGACCTAAAAACAATTTAACTTAAAAACTACTAGGTTAAACTTGGAGAGACCAGATATCAATAGAGGAGTGAATACTACATGCCTTTATTCTATTTTACACTGTTCCTTTCCCCATAAATGCAATAGTGTAATTTACAAGCAATGCTGTACCATATATATCATAGTATATACTAACTATATGTATACTGCTATACAAGTAAGTCTCGATATTAACATATGAATATATTTTCCTAAAAGAAAGAGCACCTCCCTTCAATCAATGAACTCAACTCCATCTGACAAGGCACTGCAGCAAGAATAACAGACCACGAGTATTTGAAATCTTGAGATCACCTGAAGGGAGGTACTTGTAGTTCCGGATTGTCAACAGTCACTTTAATATTGTACCCAGGAAAGCTAGCTTTTAAGTGATCAATAGACAGGAAGGTGTCATTAAAATCTAGAGATGCAATCTGATTTGGCATTTTTGAATAGTGTGCACTACTTGGGTCTCCATATCCAAGAATGATGTCATGTAGCCAGTCAGGAACCACACAATCTGTGTTCATTAGATTTCTAATAGTTTCCAGAACAGCCTGAAAATGGGAAAAAACAGGGAAAAAGAAGATTGGAGAATGACTTTTTAACTAAGTAAATATAAAACACTAAAGACTAATCAAGTTATTCTAAGATACTAATATCTATCAGTCATCCACTTATGGGTATTTGGTTATGATCCTGCAGTTCTATTTATACAATAAGTTACCAGATCACATCAATAGCTACAAATATTTCTGCTCTGTATTCCTCTCCAGGATTCTCAGACAATCCTGTCTGTATTAGAAGTTCTGGATGTCTATGGAATAGGAACATAAGCAAGGCTTATATTCCACATATTACCCTGCCTCTAAAAGCCAAATATAACTACATTGTAGGCCATCTGGTGAAAGACTAAAATTATAAACTAATGTTTCATTTTCTTATTATTACTTGAGTTAGTTTCTGATTTTCAGTTACTCTATTACTTAGCTGTAAGCAGAAAATTATCACTTGCTGAACCAATCTAACTCCGCTTGAAAAGCCCACCACACGCAATTAAATTGAATAAGTTTCAGTAATCTTTAGGATAACAGTTCACCTGTATGGCTTAAGTGTTGATGAGTGGTACCTTACCTTGAAATTGTTTTCTTTTGGTTTTCTTCTCATTATTATATTAAAAGTCTCGTATACATCTTCTGCTCCATTTTGGATCGTATTGGTCATGTCTTGTTGATACTGGTTTGGGTCCAGAAATACTCTGTATGTTCTACAGTCGCCTTTAAGTCTTGGTTTGGGTTCAGGTCCTGCTCATAATGAAGCAGTAAAAGAATTTAATATAGCACAAAAGCAGATTAGTACTCAAATAAGTCATCCATTATCTTTCTTAAAGCAAATTTTAGACACATTCATATAATGAAATTACTGTATGGATGGTATTGTTTCATGTTTTTCATTGCATTTCTACGAGAGTTTCAGAATATACCCTAAATCCTAAAAATAAAGTGTGCTAAATACCATTTCATTATATCAACTTGTATAAGAGGTAAACAACCTCTCAAGGACTGCTCATCAACTTAGTTTGTCTGTTTTTCAATTAAATAATAACTCATTGAGTACCACTCAAAAGAGAAGCAAGTGAATTTAAGCTGTTAGCAAAAGTCAATCAATCAAAACAAAACAAAAAATACCCAAAAACCATATTTCAAAGAAGATTGGTGTATCATACCCTCTTCAATAACACGTCCCTTCTCATCCAACATGCCCTGGATTTCACAGCCTCTAACATATACCAGGCCAGTTTGCTCAACAAAAGGTCGTCTTCGGTCAAACTTAGTGCCATAAGGTTGTGTGGGACGCACCGTCACCAAAAAGCAGACATCGTGTTTCCGTAGACCTGATTCCAAAAAGGAACATTCAGTAAATTGATAAAATGCCATTTTCAACTCCCATTCTTTAAAAATATACACAATAAAATATCTGACTTTTTAAATTTAAAAAACATGCTTACTTAGACCATAATGTACTCAATTTCAAAATATGCCTTTAACTCTGAAGATACAAAACCATAGGAAATGTTTTTTTCTTTCCCACTACTCTTACACACTAGAATCTGCTACAATCTCATGTACAAAGAAACAATTTTTTTTCATAACAACAAGCTTCTGCATATCTAAACCTATATTCTTCCCAATTGTTTTCTAAAAATGTGTGTGCCTTGAATTAGGCACAAAATTCCAAAGTCAGTTATTTAGTAGGGTAGAAGGCCACTTACTCATGTTATTTGCTATATTGCAGTTTATAAATCCCAGTATGACCTGATAAAGTGTTTTTCCTTCAGTAGTAGCATATTGAACTCAAACTCTTTTCCTCATGCACAGCTACTGCCTAATAAATTATTTTCAAAATGCAGCGAATTTTCTTGCTTAAGTTTAGTATTTTCTATTCATCTCTTAAATTACACTCTGCTTTTAAAAGGTCAGTTCTCCAATTCATTGTCACTTTGAACATCAGTCCTTTCTTCCAGTATATCTACCCAATTCACACATTTTTGAGAAGCTTCCAAAATTTAATGAATATACACAGTACTCCTCTATATCATTAACAGAAATCTCAAACAGAGTTGAGAGAAAAATCCTTCCAGACCTAAATGGATCATCATCTTCTGAGGCAGATACTTCTCTTGTTGTTCACTGAATACTGTTATCCCTCTTAAGTTTAATAGAATCATGGAATTGCTCAGGTTGGAAAAGACCTTCAAGGTCATCAAGTCCAACCTTAACCTAACTATACTACCCTAACTCTAACAACTCACCATTAAATCACGTCCCTGAGCACCACATCCAGACAGTTTTTAAACACATTCAGGGATGGTGACAGAATCATCTCCCTGGGGAGCCAATTCCAATGCTTAACAACCCTTTGTGTATAAAAGCTTTTCCTGATACCCAACCCAAACCTCCCCAGCGCAACTTGAGGCCATTTCCTCTTACCCTGTCACCAGGGAGAATAGACCAGCCTCGCTCTCACTGCAATCAGCTTTCAGGTACTTGAAGAAGGTATACGAAGGTGTTTGAATAAGGTCATCAAGACCATCAAGACAATTCACAGGATCACAGAATCGCAGAATTGTAGGGGTTGGAAGGGACCTCCAGAGATCATCGAGTTCAACCCCCCTGCCAAAGCAGGTTCCCTACAGCAGGTCGCACAGGTAGGCATCCAGGCAGGTCTTGAACATCTCCAGAGAAGGAGACTCCACCACCTCCCTGGGCAGCCTGTTCCAGTGCTCCATCACCTCACTGTAAAGAAGTTCTTGCACATGTTTGTGCGGAACTTCCTATGCTGCAGTTTCCAGCCGTTTCCCCTTGTCCTTAGATATTTATGGACCTGGATCAGGTCCCCTCTCAGTCTTCTTTTCTCAAGGCTGAACAGACCCAGTTCACTCAGCCTTTCCTCATAGGAGAGATGCTCCAGGATCTTCACCATCTTCGTGGCCCTCAGCTGGACTCTTTCCAAGAGATCCCTGTCTTTTTTGTACTGGGGAGCCCAGAACTGGACGCAGTACTCCAGATGAGGTCTTACGAGGGCAGAGTAGAGTACAGTGGACAATTATTTATCCACTCTTCACCTCAGTGTTGATTCAGCAGTAATTTTAAAAATTTACCTACCTTAAAGCAATACTGCTTTCAAAATTAATATAATATAGATAATATCTATCTATCTATATCTACTTACACTGGTAAAAAAGAGCCATAGGAAAGATATTAGCTACTGGAATATTTCTATCATCTAACAATATTTAGGACAGAATATGTTACTGAATAGCAGAGTTTTACTATCATCAATTAAATACTTATTTTACTATATTTATCTTTGTTTTTCATGTATAACTGGAAAACACTGGAGAAATGAAACTACACTGGAGGCAAAAACTAGCTTTTTGGAATATGCAGACACAAAATTCCTTGGTGCTAACCCTATTAACAGGATTAATAATTGAATAGAAAAATGTATCAGAGTCATTTAAACACACAACCTAATCTTAAAGTGCTTAGAAGTATATAAAATTATTTTGACACAATAGCAGGCTAAGAAATTACATTACAATTTTACTGACAAATATGGACCTAACAGATAAAGAAATGAATGGTAAAGGAGCGTTAGCAACTTACTATAAACCTTATCAAAGCATATGAGAAGATTGTGTTTTCAAAATAATCATAAATTAGTAACTATAATTTCTATCATTCTTATAATGGAAAACACAAGGATAGTAAGTATAGAAATAATAGATTACTATCAGAGAACACTGTTTACACTGAAGGCTTCCATGAAGAAACAGACCAAATGGAAGGGATGCCATCCAATGGGACCTGGACAAACTTGAAAAGTGAGCCCACAAGAACTTAATAAGGTACCAAGGCCAAGTTAAAGGTGTTGCACTTGGGTTCATGGCAATCTCACATATGCAAACATGCTGGGAAAAGATCCCATTGAGAGCAGCCTTACAGAGAGGGATGAAAAGTGGTGGATGAAAAGCTTGTGTAAGCTAACAATATGCAAGCATAAGCCCAAAAGGCCAACATAATCCCAGGTTGCATCAAAAGAAGGGTGGCCAGTAAGTGAGGGAGCTGATTTCCCCCCTCTACTCAGACCTTGTGAGGCCCCATCTGGAGTAGTGTGTTCAAGTCTGGGTCACCCAGCAAAACAGAGACATGGAGCTGTTGAACAGACCCAGATGAGGGCCACAAAGATGATCAGAGGAGTGGAGCTGCTCTCCAGATGAAGAAAGGTTGAGGAAGCTGGGCTTATTCAGCTTAGACAACAGAAGGCTCCAGGAAGATGTCACTGTGGCACTCTAGAACTTAAACAGGAGAGATACTGACTGTTTACACAGTTTGATAGCGTTAAAATAAGGCAGAATGGTTTTAAACTAAAAGAGCGGAGATTTACTTTAGAATTTAGGAGGAAATTATTTACTCAGGGGGTGGTGCGGCACAGGAGCGGGTTACCCAGCGAAGCTGGAGAGAGCCAACCCCTGGAGGCATTCATAGCCAAGGTGGATGGGGTCCTGGGCAGTCTTATCTAGTAAGTGGCAACTCCACACACAGCACAGGGATTGGAACTGGATCACCTTTAAAGTCTCTTTCACACCAAGGCATTCTATGATTCAGATAACATATCAAAATACAGGAAAATGTTGAGAATGAAACTGCAGAATAACTATTTTAAAACACTGCAAATTCTGGGGACTGGCCCCAAGTTCCATACAAATTCTTTAAGTGCTCTGCCAACATATGTAAGAAGCTGGATGCCTGATTACGTTAAGGCTGAAGATCACTTTGTTGCCACTGATTACTCTGATAAAACCTGGAAATTTTTAAAACCTGCCATTAACTGCCTTCAGGATAGCGAAGTCTGCTTCCATCCTCCATGTGACAACAATAATCCTAACATTACTAGTAAGAAAATATTTTGTATCTGTTTGTTTATTACATGCTCCAGCTTTAGCATTTGTGCTATGTGATCTGACCACATTGTACCACAATGTGTACCACATTGTGTAGCTCCAGCACATTTCACCAATGTTTCTCTAGAAAAGAAGAGGAACTGACATTTACTGATAATCCAAGTACAGGTACATGCTAGTATGCCACTTGCCAACACAGTCAAGTAAAGTTCAATTCCTCAAGCAAAAAAGCATTGCTTGCAGATAAAAACACTACTTGAAAAAACATTACTTACTTGGTATAGTCAGCACTTCCTAAACACATTCAAATATACTGAATATTACTAGCATGTACCCACTTAATGAAATGAAAATCTTCATCTTTCACAGAATGCTTGAGGTTGGAAGGGGCCTCTGCAAAAGTTACCTGATCCAACTATCCTGATCAAGCAGGGCCACCCAGAGCAGGTTGCCCAGGACCACGTCCAGGTAGCTTTTGAAGATCTCTATAGAGGAGACTTCACAAGCAACCTAGGCAAATGGTGACAGTGCTCTGCGATCTGTACAGTGAATAAGTGCTTACTGTGTTTTTAATAGAGAGATTTCACATTCTCGGCCACTTCTACAATAAGACATGGTTAGCACGCATGTTAATTTCAAATGCTAAATTATCTTTCCATTCTGCCTCTCTGGTGTAGAATTTCAGTTACCAACTGAATAACATCATAATAAAATGGTATTCTACCCCCAGTGTAAGTGTAAATATTTCAATAATTTTAATTCTGCATTCAGAAAAGGCTAAATTTCTTAGAATTGGAACTTGAATAACATGCTTTTGAAGCATACTAAGATAGACAAGTCTACCTCAGACAAAATCTTTCTTACAGATAAAAATCAAGGCAAAGGACATTTTGATGAGCAGTTATTTTGAGCATCTTATTTTACAGAACATGACAAGTACCTTCCCATTCATCTTTGATGCTATCTCTAACATTCAAATTAATTGTGACATCTGCTCGTACTCGCATGGGCCAGTTTTCACCAATATTGGGCTTTGCAACCTCCACCACTGTGAAAGACACAATGGGCTGTGCCATTCTGGCCCATCCACCAAAGACCACACCTCCATATTCTGACAGCCTGAAAAACAAACAAGATATAAGAAATCAGTTTCGTTAGTTATTATCCAATAACAGATTTGTTTTTTAAAGCGTGAAAAAATTCACCTCAAAGTCAACTCAAAAAAAAGTTAATTTTATATGCTCATGTAATCCCATATTTTTTTCAAACTGTATAACATGAACTGATTTTTTTTTAAATATATTTCAAGACATGAGGATATGAGGATATATGCCAATGTTATTAATAAAACTGAAGGCAGACAGAGAAAAAAGGTAACAAAAAGCAAATACTGAGTATAAGAGATGCCACACCAAATGATCCCCTTGAAATCTAAACAGGATCAAAACATGGCAGATTCAAGAATAGGCCATAAAACACTTTATATAATGGAAGAACTAGAGGTAGTGTTTCTGTATTTCATAAAGTCAGACAATGTTCAGTGCTTTTAGAAAACCACCACATAATTGATAATATCACAAACATTGTTTGTTAGCATCCATATCTAGCATTAAGTCTTTCAAGTTAAGACTACAGGTATACTTACCAACTCATTCTTGCAACATCATCCCACAGAACAGAAACACCTTGCATAAGAGGTTAGGACAAAACACAGCATCTTACAATTTAAAACACATTACTAGGCATTTAGTACACACTCAACATTAGTAAATCATTCTCAAATGCTCTTTGTTTACAGTTCAAGCTGAGTTGACTGGTTCAGGTCATTCAACAAATATTACCATGGTTTCATCCTACTGACGCTATCTTCAATATCCTGTCTGATCTCATAAGTCGACTCCAAGCGAAAGAGATTGAAGTTCCTTAGCAAGTAATCGTGAAGAGTCAGAAACTGTAGATTCAGTTTGGGAAGTGCAAGACAGCCTAAGGAAGGGCAGGAAAAGTGTTATTTGATGAATTAAAAAAAAAAAAAAAAAGAAAATGAATATTTTGATTCCACATAATTACAAGTACGTAAACACATAATATAACTGCTATAACTGCTGGAGTTCTTACTATAGGAGCTCCCAAGGATTTCTCTTTTTGTAGATATACTTTACTAACAAATGCACATTTCCATCCTTTCCTCCCCTAAATTTTCAAATTCTCTCTAGATGAACCTGCACAAGATTAAAACAATTTTCATCCTTCGGACAGAAGAATTTAGCTGTCTTAAAGAACACAGAAAAGAAATATAATGCTGGAGAATACATTGAGTTTAAAAAGGGAAAGAGTTCTCAAGAACTCTCAAGAGTTCTACCAACACACAGATAGCACAATGTTTCAAACGATCTGTTTCTTGCCAAAATTACATTTTGCATTACATTTCACATTAATAAAAATTCTATAAAGGATTATTTAAGATTTACAAAACACCACAGAAACAGGTGTAATGAGATGTTCCACTCCATTTCTTACCTCAAACGCAGTAATACATAGTGATTAGTGCACATTTATATACTTTTTTTTAATACACTTATATATATTTATTTTTTATATTGTATATATTTGTGTGTGCGTAAGATCTGTGATTAGTATACACAAGCACAGCATGTATATCCAGGTGACTCCTGCACTGGTACTGCTAAGAATGTCATACCTGTTACAGACTATAAGTACAGAAGTGGCTTTGCATAAACACAAACCTTCAGATTTTTATTTAAGTACTCTATTCATTATAAAATGCCTTATAATTGCATGAACTCTGAAGACAGAACGAGCACAGGATCCCTTTTTGGGCACTTACTGCTCCTTTCAGCCTTCAATAAATTGCTAATCATACCTTCTCCAGAATAATATTCAGTTGGGACAATGTTTTCATCCCAAATAATCTTCTCTGTGGGATAAAGAGGCATCTGATTGAGCTGCTGAATTTGAGATATTCGTCTCTCATGACGGGAAACCTAAAGGACGCATTTGAAATTTCTGTAAATCAAAACATGAAAATAAAGCTATCTTTAAAACATATGCATTAATCCAGAAGAATGCTGGTGGTCACTTGCCATGTCCTCTGTTTTAATAACCTCTTTGTTCTTTTTTCCTCCAGTCAAACACAACTAAATCCACATAAAGATACTGAAAGATGAGTAAGCATATATTCCAACTATCAGTCATTCAAAGTATCATCTGTTTTCTCAACTGATGAAAAATGTTTGCTTGTTTGTTTTTGTTTGGTTTGATTTGTTTTGTTCTGCACTGCACACATTTTCAGTAGCTGACTGAAACACTAGTCATCCAGTAATAGCTAATCTTCATTTCCCCTTTCGGAGAAAAAAATCCACCCAATACTACTACAGAGTAAACTGGACAAATATCTGTTTATGGTATCAATAAGCATCATATTACCACCACCTAAATCTTATAAAATCATGCAAACAATTTTTGAAGAAGGAACCACAAAAAAATTTATGAAAGACATAAAAAGATTAGATGCCTAAAATGAGCGTTATAATTGAATAGTTAAAAAAGAAAAAAAGGACCATCTTGTGCAATAACTGGAATTACAAATAGGCTTGAGGAACCAAACAGACACTGAACTTTTTTTTTTTTTATTAAAGAAAAAAAAAACAACAACTAACAAAACAGGTAATTAAATAAACAACAGCTTTTCCCAAAGAGCTCAAAACTGTTGCTGAGACTCTCCTTATTATGCCAAAAATACATATACTAGTTTCTTAGGAAAGATTTTCCAACACTTCAAGATTTTCAAATACTTAATTTGTATCTTTTTGAGCTCCAGCTTATTATCCAAATTATTGTTATAATGCTGCTGTGGTTCCCACATGGTTTACCAAGGTTCTAAACAGCTATTTTAGGACAGTGTAGGTGCTAAATTACATGAATGATGGTTTTACCAGCAGCTCTAGCAGAAACTCCTTCTCATAGCTGGTATCGCTTCCTTCTGGAAGGGAAGGCAGCAAGCAGAGGTATGATGCCACCTGGTGGAGTACATTTGAGCTGCAACAGTACAAAATAAAAAAAAATCCATTTTTAATTAATAATTACATTAAAGTCTGTGAGAGAGATTACAGTTAGTTCTTTTTTTTTTTTAATTAAAGAAGTTCAAATGTGAAGTTTCACTAAAGTACTAGAATTTAAAAATCACTGCAGCAGTAATTAACTTACAATAATTAAAGTCTAATTTTTAAAAGCAGCTAGCTATTTTCCAGAAGTCTACTGCTTTTCATGCTCATTAGCAAAATAAAACAATTTTTCCAATGCTGGAACTCCAGTAATTCACTACTAGTTCGTACCATTCTACTGTACTAATGGGCCCAAACTCTAAACGTCTCTGTATTTTCAACAGATACAAAGGCACAAAAAAAACCAACCAAACAAATAAACCATACACCCTAATTTCACTGACATGAGAAATCAGAGAAAAATGGCTAGATTTTTGTTAAATTAAAACACACTGAGAACAAAGAATAACAATTTTATGTTAAATGTAATTCTGATTATTTACCTGAGTGGTCCAAATAACTTCACCAGTGCATCACGAGTATCTACTGCAGCTACATTTGAGAGTGCAAAGTCATATAACTCTGGGAAGTGTGCAAATGCTGCTCTCTATAAAAGATCCACCCCAAAGAAATGGAACTTAAGCACATTAATGAAACAGTTTAATCACAATCTAAGCATTTACACAAACTACAGTCTTTTTGTATTTCTAGTACCCTGCAGGCAACTCCAGGATAGAAATAAAAAACAGGTACAATCACCATTTTTCTTAGCACCACCTATTTAGTACTCCTGTGTTTCTGATGTACTGTTTTTCTGATAGAGCTCATATTAGTACTTGTTCTACCATTAAAACAAAAACGTAAAAAGACAGACGTAGACTTTTAGTCAACTAAGTAAAGTTTTTAGTCAACTCGGAAAAAGTTTATTTTCACCATGCTTCCTTGATTTTTTTGTTAAATCTCATGTGAAAAATCCTGACGAGTATAACTATCTTTATATAGAACAGATGATGAGAACTTCATTTTTTATCTCTTATGTACAAAGGACAACTATTATCATGCATATACTGGTCTTGATGAAATGGTGCCACCTACTGCATAACAGAATTAAATTCCCTTCTAAATCTTACACAAGCAGTTCACCTTAATCTCAAAAGTTGCGTTGTTTTACTAGAGTGCATTATTTTGCTGCAGCCACATCCATAAATCAAAACTTTCCAAATGACATAAAGAGTCAAGTTGCAACTACTCCTGATAATGAAAATGAATAATAAACAGCATGCTTTGGGAAATACTCTAATTTGTATACACAACAGTTTTAACAGCAAAACCACATCCCTTCTGTCCTGCAAGCACGTTACCTGTAAAGAAGTAATTCTGTCATAGTGAATTGTTGTCATCTCATTCTCTGTCAAAGCATTTCCAGTTTGATCATTGATTTCAAAGCCAGTGTAGAATTTAAGCATATCTAAAAGCTGAGATAACACACATATAATTAAGTCAATTAACAATACCTCTACTGCAAATGTAAACACTATTTAACACAACAAATCCATGCACAAACAGTAGTTTGTCAAAGTACTTAAAGGAATGAATCAGGGAGTAACATCCAAGTTTGGCTGATGCATGAAATAGTGTTGAAATACAGCCACAGAAATTACAGCACAGCCAACAATCATCACCATTTTTTTTTTTTAATACATCAATTCTAGAAATTAAGTATATTGCATTGACCTAGGAAGAGGTTCAGTGAGATGCCAAATCCAATTTATGGCTTTCTGCTACCAAAAGGCAAAAGTCTTGCTGACTCCATCCCTCTCTTATGCCCACCCTAGAATTCTTCGCACTTTTCAATGACGGGATGCAGCTTAAAAAAAGAAAATTAAACCAATGAGCTTCAGGCTTTCTGTTTTAACAACAAAGACCCTAGGAGAGACTGAAAAAACACTAGAGATAGGAGACAGTAAGCAGCAAAAAAAACGCAGATGAAAAGAAGAAATCTTCAGATCCTGCTGTAAACAACTAAGTGTCTGTGGCTAAGTAAACTGAAGGAGATTATTGATAGATAGCACCCTTGTAGAACTGTCTGAGGTTAAAATAAAGGAGAGAATGCACTGGTAACATCTTCTGTTACACCTGGGATAAAGCAACCCACAAACTACACCACTTTCTAGGTTCTACTTTTCAAAAATGCACAAAAGTCAGAAACATGAAAGCAGGCACATATAGGTATAGACAAGAAAAGACTACTGCCTGAAAGACTTTGATAAACATGTAGTTTGCACTCATCAGAAATATTCATAAAAATCTCTCTTAACTACCAAATGTGAAATAAAACAACTGCAATATTTAGAATTGCAGAATGAAAAAAAAAAAAACTTCTTATTTCACCTGGCAAAAGAGATGACCCTCCTTCTCTCTTTTGGCAAGACTTGACAAGTAACAGTGAACAACAAGATGGGAGTCATCCAACACTGTATTAAACCAGCGTCGTGTGGGAAGCAAAGCCTGTGGTAAATAATGCCATATTAGTACAAACAATTCTTCAAAATTAAAGAAATCTTGGTTTCTCAATTTCTCTCCATTACATGAAGGCAGACAATGATAGATTGCTGCAGTTATTAACTTATCTAAAACCCTAATAGAGGTCCTCATACTAAGGCAGCATTTGTGTGCTAAGACCAGGTTTTATGCAGGAAAGGTGCTATGAACTTCTACTAGTCTGGCAATGAGGCATAAACTCATCATGAGTGAGATTACACCCTGTTAGCAATAAAAGTAAATTAAATAAAGCAACTGTTCCACCAGTAGTGTCTACATAATCCTTGTGTGCCACACATGATAACATCAAACTGCTGCAATACTGTTTTAAATGTTCTACACTCATTTCAGTCGCCTTGTTTTGTTTTTATATTAAGCTTGAGCTTCTCAGAACTGAGAACTCCCTTTTTTTCTATCTACAGTACTCTATCTTCCATTATTCATAAGGTATGTACAGTAGTTCTAATATTTTTTCAGTTTTATTACTAATTTCAAGCTTACAAAAGCTGAGACCACATTTTCAATGAAAATTGTTCAAGCTGCTTTACAAATGAATTTAAGCTGTTTCAAAATGAGTTGTTCCCAGTGGAACGTACAGATGAATTTAGAAAGTCAAAAGACATCAACGTGACATTTAAAAGTAAGATAAAGATAAGAAAAGATTTTACAGTAGAATGTTAATTGTCACATACAATCACCACCAAAATAAGCAAACTCAATCAACAAAAGAACTTTCTAAGAAACTGTTCCTTCTGACTTATCAAAACACTAAGTTTCTATTTTAGAGTACAAACTTTAGCTATACTGAGGTATCTATTTCTATTAAAAAAAAAAAAAAAGCCAACGTTAAAACAATACATGCCACAGAGGCAAACAGACTTGAATTTACAGCTAATTTCTCATATGCTTGTTTTTGTCATTTAGGCTTCATAAACTTTCTGAATTCCAACCTTCCTTTAACACTTAATGACAACATTAAATGTACTGCCTCTAAGTGGTTTGGCCAGAAACAAGGTTTAAGCTTAACACCAAATATATCAATCCGTTACAAAAATGTATTACGTCCATAGGACAACAACCCCTAATTTAAATGTGCTTAACAATTCAGCAAATCGTCCTATTCCAGAATGTCTTTTCAAGCTGAAATTACTTTAAGTCGTTACTCATGTGAGAAGGTATCAATTAATACCTTATGTTTTATCCTGGTACTGCAAAGCTTTAAACTGTCCCATTTTCTCAGTATCTGCAGATAAATTTCAGAGAACCTCACTTCGTCTCCTACTATTATTCTGAACCAAACTCAGATCACCAGAACTGTTCCTTGTAAATAATGAATTCTAGTCAAATAAAAAAACATTGTATTTCAGAACTACACATGCCTTCTGGGATTATAATCTTCAACACAAAAGATACTTTACGTAGCCCATGGTGCTTTGAAAGGAAGCTTCCTAGATTAATCCTAATGGATTAAAGCTTCACACATTTTCTTCAATTGCTGAAATTACTACTGCTCTCATTAGGAGTCTTCACAGAGCAACCTAGGATCTTAGACTTCTCTAATCATTTATAAATCAGATAAATGCTCCATCAAGTCCCAGTGTAGCTGCACTGCTCCAACCTCTTATTTACAGCTGGAAAACCACTATTAAGCAACCTTATGCACAGCTGTGACTTAACTACTTGTTAACTGGAATAAGTCTAAAATGACATCTTTATGATAAAAAGAAGTAGAAAGCACATCTAGAAACAGGCTGAAACAAAACAATTTACCTCAAGATCGATCATGAGTTCAATGAATCTCTCACAATAATGAACTTTGTCCATAGAAACAGGACCTAGATAGGAATAAAATATTTATAATTGATCCACACCACAATATATTTTTAAACATACTAGAATGTTGATAGTACATCAGTATCAGCTTCTAACAAGGTTAGAAAACTAACCAGGACATTCTTCTTCTCTTTTTCCTCAAACAATCCTTTCCTTCACTATGAACCAGAACATAGTTGGATATAAGAAGTAAAAGAAACTAGAATCCTAGAAGTCAATTTTTCCACTGAAAAACACAAACAATATGCCACACAAAAATGCTCACTTTCACATGACACCAGGCCTGCTACATTTCTTAAAAACTTTTCATGTCAAGTCCTAAAAATAAATAAAATTAAAAAAATTTAAAAAAAAAAAAATATATATATATATATAGATTAACTTTTAAAACTGCAGTCAAATCAGCAAAAGGCTGTCACAAAATTCAAAGGTACTGAATGCTGCATTAAATCAACCTATTTTTTTTGCATCCTAAATGGTCAAATGGTCTAACAGTGCATATACTCAGGTAAAGTGTAGTATCTTTCGAACATGTTTGGCCCACGAAGATCTCTTTCCACATCTCACCCCATTCCCACGAATGTCTTTTCAGCTAAAATATTTTTAGTATGTATGTGGCACGTGTGGTCAACTGGCTGAAAGTCCTTAGTGACTGTCCAACTGCCTGTTATATTCCCTTGGAAACACTCAAGTCTAACTGGACAAGGTCTGGAGCAACCTCCTCTAAATAACTGTGCTTTGATCAAGGGGTTGGACTACATAACACTGAAGGGTCCCTTCCAATCTCAACTACTCTGCAACCCTATGAAAACATTTAAACGAGCACTCTTAAGAAAAAAAATACATAAAAAAAGAGAAATGTGATTGATGTGAAGATTTTCTTCAAATAAAGATCTAAAAAGCATGAAAAAAAAGAAAAAAATGACCTAAGAACCAGTACTTCAATCAGTACCGGACCCACTGAAACATTACAAAATGTATCATCAAGGGCTTCGCTACAATGTTGAAAGCAGCGTATAGTTTAAGTGGACTGCTGAGAAGCTAAGAGGATCAAGTCAGAACACAATACGAAATCCGCTTTAATGAATGTCTATTTCCAAAAGCCTTCAGCATACTGTTAAAGCAAGTCTTTAGAAACCAGTCTTTGCACAGCTGGGAAGCTGGATGAGTTAGGTACCTTTTTTGAAAAAGCCTTGATACGCAGAAATTCTCCGTAAAGCTCACAAACTTTGCAAGTTTTAGCTCTTAAGAACAAAAGCAGAATTCTAGCAAGTGACGTTACCTAAATTGTGCTTGGATTATAAGCAGTTTATTTATTTGTCAAAATGCTACTATCCTTCTGTAGAAACACTTTTTCTGTTCTCAATCAGGCAAGCATATAATTTTTTCTTGTCCAGTACGACTTCTCATAAATCATGAGTAGTCAAATTTCACAGCATTTAACTTCACTCACGTTTCTGCTTTCAACATTACTGACAGAATATGACATTACTGACAGCTTCATGATATGCATTTATAACAACCCATATAGGCATGCTTTGAGATGTTTTAATATTGTATGGAAGATATAAGTACACAATTAAAGTACCACTATCCACAAAATATTTTGAAGTCCACATTGAACCTAAATAAAACATCTTTAAAAATGAAATAGTGGAAAGTTACTTTAAACCAGAAATACAAATATTAACTTTGACATGAAATCCATGCAGACAGGCTTATTACCAAAACCCCGTATAGATAAGGTCTCCCACCTCAGGCTGGTATCCTAAGTAGTTATGCTTCAATACAAGAAAAGAATTTAAGACACATTAACAGACAACAAAATAACACAAGAACCAGGAGTTACCTGAGACAGGTATTGATTTTAGCACAGAAATGAATTTCTGAATGAGCTGTGAAAGAAATCTTCTCTCTCGATATGCTCTAAAATCAAATAGAGGACAAAAGAATTAATATTCCTGAAATGAAGACTAGAAATCTCTTTCACAAGTACGAAGTCAGCTGCTTTCAGACATACATAATGGTAATGACTTGTTTTGAGCCATTCCTAAGTTCTTTAGATGATAAACTTTCTTCCACTCAGGCAAACAGATTAGCAGAATTGGTTCTTAACTTATAGAAAAAAAAATGGATTAACATCCCATACTTCTACTAAGTAAAAGAGAAGTATGATACCACCTACACTTTATCACATTATAATACAAAAATTATTTGAACATTTAACTTCTGTAAGATACACACAAGTTTACTTAAGCACTTTAATTCAAGTGAGAGTGAAGACCTTTCCATGAAAAAAATACATGAGCAACTATACAATACAATACTGTTATATAGCCCTTATCCACTGGCTCTAAAATTTGTAATCATAAACTCACTGATCAAATAAAATGTTAGCTTCTGTAACATTAATTTACATGAAGATTACTGGAAAACAAAATAGTTTCCAAGAGAGAAAACACGATCGATCCTTATGTGTGAGCTTTACATGTTGTTGATTGGCTTTGCCAACATGTTGATTGTTTGGCTTTTGCTGTTGCTTTTTAATTATGAATATTATTATTATAACAACTCCACTTAGTTGAATTACAATGGCCAATACATCGGCCACTGGATTTAAATGGAAAAAAAATCTGTTGTAACATACTGCACTCTTGCCTCCTCATGCATTTTCTCATCATTTTTCTTAATTAGATTCCAGAATTTTCTTAGCTTTGGTGTCTTTTTCAGCTCTTGCTCCAGTCGTTTCTGAAAAGGTAAGAAAGTCTTTCTTACAAGAAAAGCAAATAATGAAACTGAATAATACCAAGTAGTAATTCAGAAAAATGTCTACAGAAGTCACTGACACATCTGCATCATCCATCTATTTAAAAATTATTCCCTCAGTAGTACTACATACACCCTTCTCAGTTGGCTTTTTGGTATTCTTTGCTTTCCTATTTCACTGCTTCCCATTTCTATAGCAAGTCAATTTCCCAGTCCTATAGCATTTTCATGTCCTAGCCTACAAACAATACTTCAAAAAAGCATAGATCAGTAAAGCTTAGATTTGTGGAGAGAAAAAAAATACAATTGCAAATGAACATAGAAATTTGCAACTAACAGGAAAGAGTTTACCAAGCACACAAAAATACAGATCCACTGTAATGCAGACCGTTTCAAATACTGGACAGTCACTATACAACTCACATTGCAGAACTTGCATTTTGCCTAGAAGGTTACATTATTATGCTTACAGGTTGTAGAGCCATCCACATCGGTAAGGAAATGAGCTGCTGCACCTGACCTCTTATCAAATCCACTTCCTGTCAGAAAGTTAGAGATATAAAAAGCATTTTTAAGGACGTTTCTACTTTCTGATGTGCCTGTATTGCAAGTATAATCTTGTAAAATAATCAATGGACATTGCGATCCACATGTATGCTGCTGTATTAGATTTCACAACTTCCTAACAGGAAATTACACAACATCACTCCCCAGTAACTCTTAGAACTGTTCACTGCTTGTGTAAACCTTGATTTTGACTAATACATCTTGTGTCCAATATATACACTGACAAGAGAGTTAACAGAGACATATTTCATATAACATCCATGTTGTTTTTCTTTTCCTCTCTACACTTGCAAATTAGAATCTACAACTGTGTACAGATTAAGAATAATCTGGTCATATGGTTCCTTAGGACTAACATATGAAAAGTGAAGACAAGTATAACCCAAATTCTCTTTTCAAAGGTGAAAAAACTCCATCATCTCTCTTAATAATAAAAATCATAACATGCAGCAATATATTAATAAAAATAGTTCTATGTAATTTTGCAACCAAACAAGAGAGCTGTAGTAACAAATTCATTTAAGGGTAAAACATATTTTTTAGTAAAAATATTTTTAAGCACCATTTGAAATGTAACTGAATATATGTCTCTAAATTCATTACTTCAAATCTTGAGTCTCTTGCAACTTTGCGTGTAGAGAGAAACCAAGCCTCAAAAAGAAGGGTAAACACCATCCATCATCACCATCATCTATAAATGAAAATTCTGTCTCCTAAAGAATTGCTAAAACTGAACTGCTGCTAAGAGGGCAGAACCACACAGTAAGTATTGTAAAAGTTGCACTTAACATACCAAACTATTGAAGCAATGATCAAGGAAAAGTAGGAGAACTGTCTGTTCATGTAGAGAGAATTCATCATCATCCTCAACCAGTGATGCTTCCAGAATGCATTTGAAAAAGAAGGGAAAGTGCTCTGACTTCTTTTTGAATGTCTAGGAACAGAAAAGGAAGTTAATCTTGAGTCAAGGTGATACAAATTTCAAACTGCAATCACACAGCATAACTTGAGATCTCCAGATTCATTCAAATGCATAAAAGGAAGAATTTTTTTTTCTGACATTTATTCTTACTAGGCAACACAAACACAGTCTTAATGACATTCTCCTGATCAGGGATTCCCCAGTATGTGGGAGAACTCTTAAAGAGACTACTGCACTATATGTGCCCTCTAACGTAAGTGATACACAGGACACAGACCATGAAAAGTGGACCATTTGTAGAAACGCAAAAACATTTCTAAAGCTACTACTAAACAAAACAATACACAGAAGTAGCAATAAGAGATTCAGTTTAAAATTTCATGCAATATAGCCACAAAACCATTACTCACAGGTTTCAAGGAAAATAATATTAGATAAAATGTTAGATTTTCAGTAGTGCCTTCTCATATGCACAGATATAAAAGTTCTTTTTCCTATTACTATCAGAGAAATAACTTCTCTGCACGTGCCAGACCTTTTCAAGTGCAAAAAAAGTAAAGTGCCGCTGATAACGAGGCAGCAGAACAAAAGACTCATGCACAGCAAAAAAAATTATCAGGTGATCTTTCATCCATGTAACATTCTCTAAATCACACTATATAATATGAAATATTCCAGCAAAAGTACCATTTACTTTAAACACCGCAAGCTTTGCTACTTTCCATCAGTATAAGAGAACACACTGCAAAAACTGCAATTTCTATATAAAAGTCAATTCTAGCTGTAATTGTAATTGGTTACCTCCCACGCAGGGACATTCTCTCTGAACTTCTCGTTCACCATACAGCAGATTGACATTAAGTATGCCTTACTGGACACCTCTGGAGAATAATTCATCCATAGGTAATTTTCAAGGTACTGGCTTTGAAAAGACAAAGAATATGTCATTAGTTGCTGCCACCCACATAATCTGTCACTCACACAAAAAAGCAATTATTCACAGGCAAGGTTGGTTTGTCATCTTTAAAGTTACTGAGCAGTTCCTGAAGCTAACTCTCAATCAAGTCTCTTCAGCAAACTTGGTAATGGCAGATTCGCGTAACTGCTACAAGAGACAGATGATTTTCTCATCAGGATGACAAACTGATAAGAGGGGTTTAAAAATGCCCTAAGTAGCCACAGCTCAACACATAATCAGAAAAAGAATTCATACTGATTATCCAGAAGGAAAAGAAATTCACTTAACTACAGAATGTCAGATGCAGCACTTCCTAGCATAAGATGCAAAGAACAACTACCATGTAACACTATCTGAGTAATTACATAACTGTTACCTTATTAAGTGAATTCAAGAAATCTGAAAAAATTACTGGACTCTGGGAAATAGCAGCTATCCAGCAGCAAGCACTGCTTCTTCATTAAGATAGTACCTTTCTCACAGAAGAATCTCTTAAAACTAGCTTAGATAAGAAGCAATTTGAACACAGAGCTGCCTCCCTCTTCTAGCTACCCCCTGAAGCTATGCAGGATAGCTATTCCTTAGGAGAAAAATCTCTAAATCCTTTATTTTCAACAGTGTATTTGCACCTTATGCCTCCAGTAATTCTTGTTTGTTTCTAATTCAGCTGCTTACTTATTCTCATCTTAATGCTGGCTCTAACATTCTTTTTGCCCTTTTACGAGCCCGTTTTACTCATTTACTTTTCCAATAATTTGAGTAAGACAAGTACCAGGAACAGTGAGGGGAAAAAAAAAAAGGAAACAACAAAACAGCAAGGGTTTGTACGTATATATAACCAGGAGCAGAAGTCTCAATAAGAGTCAGATAAGGATTTATACTTCCTGGTGGCTTATTCCCCAGATGATGTTAGCATCAGATAAAGAAAATGAGAACTTCAGACATACAATATGGGATGTATACTGCTTCCAAGGAGAAGGAAATTCCTCCATCCTCCCGCAAATCCCGCAAAGAGGGAGCTCCATACTTCATTCCATCCAAGAGCTCTAATAAACTTCCAATGCATTTTAATAAAAATATTTTTATGTTCCCAAATCTATAGGATTATATAGGATAAATCTATGTAAATATGAATGGAAAAATCTCGTGTGTGAAGGCAAGAGAGCCTGAGGGACTGACAGAGGAAAGGAAAAAAAAGAGAACATGACTTACAGGATAAATGGTAGCAGATGTGAATATACAACAAAAAGTACTTAAATCACATTACAAACTTATAATATTATGAATGTTCACAAAAATGACTGAAACAGTAACTCCATGGTATTACTCTGTCTCTGTCAAGCCCAAAATGACAGCTTACTTTTTCTCTTGCGCCTTTTCTAACAAGGAAGCAGGAAACAATAAATAATAAATAAATAAAAATTTATCCTATTTTTCTAGCTAGTGCTACTACTTACATATTTCAGCCTCTTCAAGCAAAATCTATCTAATTCTGCCTGCTCATAAGACTTGAGATAGAAACAGAGCAAGTATATAAACTTCAAGCAGATTAACTGCTCTGCATCTGTTTCTCCACTTTTATGAATTTCTACAGAAAATAGACTTAAAATTTTACTCCATTTAGCTTACCTGAATTCAAGAAGCATTATCTTTCTAATTGCAAACCTAAAAATGAAGAAAAGTAATCAATTAGCATAGCAAAAAAAGCTTTCTGTGCACAGCTGCACAAAAAAATGGTTATTTCCCACCCTTGTTTTGTTGCATGCAGTGAGTCCATCCAGATCTTCCAGTATGGGGACTATTTTCTTACAGTCTTGAAGACATAAATTGGTAGAAGCTAACAGCATGTTCTGGAAAATTATGACTATATGCTAATTCAGTTTGTAACAGCGTTGCTTCTGAGTTAACGAAAATGCAAGTTTGCTCTGATTCTGCACGGCAATTTTAGATTACTTTCATAAAGCAATTATAAACAATATTGCCTTCAACATTCAAATTTGTCCTGAAGAGCTTTCAACTTCTATTGTTACCACCTATTTCTATACACACAGACGTAAAAATAAGAACTCTTCTTTTTCCTTGTCTACCTCATTCATTGAAATTCAATGAAATAAGATTCTTGCTTTAAATCTGGTTACAAAAACTAGGGAAAAAAAGAAAATAAATAAACAAACAGATAAATAAAAAGCAAAAAGCCAGAGGCACTACAACTAGCAATAAAGAGATCAGCCTTCTATAATCATCACAAAACAAACAAATCACAATACAGTGCCAGACCAAACAAGAGCTGTCCAACACTCATATACAAGGAGTATGAGTTCATGAACTTCCTTTTTGTCACATTTGAACTTTGAAATAACATAATTATTATTATTACAACTATACTGCAATGCATTTATATCATTCCCGACTGCTTTCAATATACGAATGTATTTCAAATCACTCTATGAAGCATCAGAAATAACTGCAATACACATAATGTTGAAATGGTTGTCTTTAACAGAAAGTGACCAGTGTACTTACTTTGATTTGACAATTTCTTTTGCATATACATCTTCAATAACCTATGGGTAAGAACAATTTAAAAATTATACATCATAAAATTATTGAAAATGTATTCATATGTTTTATGCATTCCGAGTTACTGTGCGTTAGTTACTCTCTGATTAACTGTATTTGGTTAAATATATCATACCAAACACATCTCATCTCTGGTCAGACCAAACGCTTCAGAGATAAAGAAGAAATTACCTAAGTCTCACTCAGAGTTTTATATAAAGTCAAAATGATATTGATATGCAAGTCTTTTTCACCACTAATCTTTGTCTTATTGTTGAATTTAAAATAGTCCTGAAGAGTCTGCATCAACCTGGTCATCAATTGTTGCTGTGTTTTTTAAACAGCATCAAACCAAAACCAGCCATTCTTACCCAGCTTTTCCACCGGGAATAAAAGAATCTACCTGATGCAATATGCACACTTTGATATTGCATCATAAAGACTTCTAATTCAACTGCTTATCTTCATCCTAGTTCTATCAATCACATACAAATCCTGTCACCAACATAGTACAAAGATCAAGCAGAGGCTGAAAAGGGAGATTAAGCCAAATAACAAGGGAAAAAAACATCAGAGGATCCTACACTACAGGATGCCAACGTAGAACCAAACATATACAGTTAAACTTCAAGCATTAAAAACAAAGATATCAATCACAACAGTAATAAAGCTTTCCAATCTAAACCCTCAAAAGAAACTTTTAATAAGCATTATCATTCATTTATACTTATCCTTCACCCTTCATGAATTTCTAAGAGTATCCCCATCCCCAAGATCCTTTTCCTGGCAAATTCTTGGCTAAAATAAACCAAACAGGATGCAAAAGAACTGCACTGTTGCAGCACATTTTCATGGCAATGCCTCTATTTTAATACTTTAAAAAAAAAAAAAAAAAAAGATAACCTCTAACTACAGTGTGGTAAATGATGACCTTTCAAGCAGCTTTCCACACCCTTTTATGATACAGGCACCATCAGAGGTTAGTGTGTCATAAAAGGGTTGGTCAGCATCCCACTACAATTTAAATGGAAGTATTTACCTTTGAATCAAAAGGCAATTTTTTCTTCGCATGGGGAGCCCAATATTTATTTGCTAACTGTATGGAGAGACAAACAAACATGGTAAGCATACACACTTTTTAGTAATGACATGATAGCTCTACAACAGACCCAAAGCCCACGTTTTATTACACTAGTTTCTAAGTAACTACAATGTTTGTACAACAGTGCTTCTCACTGCTAAAGTTTCTACACCTACACGTTTTCGAACTGAAGTGCAATTTTCTGTGTTAGTTTTAGATGCAGAGGCTGCTATATAACACTTTTAATTACTGCTGTTCTTAAGCTCCCTCTAGCAAATCCCTCAAAGCTACAACACATCCTTTCAGGGGATGCAAAGACCCCTTGAGACACCTGACAAGACGCAAAGACAGCTCACCAAGACCTGCTATTTTGTGGCTGTGCGCTGCAGCCTTAAGGCCCACGCCTCAGATTCCCGAGGACGGGAAGGCCCCGCCTCGGCACGACCAGCCCACCTGGGTGACGAACTCCGCGTTAATCTGCGACACGGTGGGTGCCACGATCTTCTTCGGCGGCGTCGCGGAGGTCGCCGGCGCCGCCATCACGCCTCGAGCTCCAGGCAGCCCGGCAGCCTGAGCGGCCCGTGCTGCAGCGCGGGGCCCGCTGCGTGCCGGCGCTGAAGGGAACGGAAAGGCGCCGCGCCGTGAAGCGGTTCCGGGTTGCGGGGCGGGCACTGACGGGGCCTCCATAGCGGCGGTGGCGCCACCTGCCGTACCCTCCCCGCCTTGCAGGCAAGGCTGGAGCAAGGGGAGGCTAAACGTCAGCGTTTTGTTGTTCGGAGCGCATGCTGCGGTCCAGGTGTTGCGGACCCCTGCTCTTGCTGATACCGCACTGGCAGCACCCAGAGCCAAGCACAGCTGTAGTCTGCCTGCTAGATACTGCCAACCCATGGAGCAGAGGAGAAGCAAAGGTAAAAGGCAAAATTCAGTGCTTACAGAAGTCGGCAACTTGGCAGTTATTTAGACCAGTTAGCTTACTGAATTCGGTAAACACATTAATTAAGGAGGAAATTATCAGAATCCCTAGAGAAGTTCCAGCGCTTTGTGTCTGTGCTCATTATCCAGCACCTGCCAGTTTAAACACTTTAAACTTCCAGGCAGACACCATTGAAGTCTGTTTGAATGTGACCTCCTTTGTTTTGATAACAAGGTGATCACCATTTCATGTCTTCAAGCAGAGGTTAAACTAAACATTCTTTTTGAAGTTGAATTAGAATGTTCAATGGGAATGAGAAAAAAGTAATGACAGTACCTTGAATAGGATCAGAGGATGGCTGTATTCAGATAAATATGCTTCCTTCGTGCCTTCACTTTAAAAGTTCCAGAAAAGTTAAGTTTTCTATGTGGAAACTAGTCAAACAAAGAAGTTACAAAAGTGCTGGTAACAAGTTCTCTGAACAGTGAGGGCTGAGCACTGCCTTGTCTGATGACTGAAGCCTTTAGAGAGACCTGCAATTAATGACAACACGTAAATGCAAAGCAATTAAAATACAGTTACACCATTGTACCCTATCTGACACTTAAATGGTGATAAAAGTAAGCAAAATAAGGTACGAGGGTTGCTCCAAAAATAACGCCTCCTATTTTACCAAGTTGGTCCACAGTGCCAGAGGCAGATGTTGATGGTGTGGCAGCAGAGGTTGAACTTTCCCTCCAATACTCCATTACATTTTGTTGCTGTATGACAGTTGGCAGCAGAGGAGCTGTCTGACAAATTGGCATCTGACATGGAAATGAGCATGAAGCAAAGGTATGTCACTGAATTCTTCCATGTGAGAAAAAATGGCACCTCTTGGCATTCACTGACACTTGCTGAATGTTTATGGAGACCAAACAATGGATATGAGCACAGTGAGGCAGCGAGTGGTGTGTTTCAGCAGTGGTGACAACAATGTGAAAGACAAACCACATTTCAGGGGGCCGTGCAGATTTTTATAAGCATGGCATGCAGGGCTTTGTTCATCAAGATTGTACATAAGTTTTGCTTTCAAGCCTCAATAGCTGCTGAACCTTTAAACAGGAATTGTGAGACCAGGCATGATACCCACAGTTTTATGTATGTACCCATCTGTAACTCTCACTCCTGCTCACAGCTGTGTTAACGCTCATCTTTTGAATACTATGCTCACTTTTCTCCAGAGCGGAGGCACTTCTATCACTTTCCACCCCAAACTGCTTTGTTGTTAAGGGAAAAATAATACCCTCTACCCCATCTTCCACAAAGCCTTCTGTGAAGTTACCCACCTTTCTGTACTCCCTGACTTAATGCATCTAGAACATCAAATATTCTTTCTTAAAAAAAATAAATAAATCTGGGAGTTCATTTATGAAGAAGCCATGCGTTTGAGTAGATGCTTTAAATGATTTCAAAATATTATGTATTTTTAGGCTGCATGTAGTCCTGGTCAATTGATAATCAGTGCTGCTTTGATGCTTACATAGCTCTTCTTGCTTTAGACCCTTACCCTTCCATATTATTGCAGCCAAAAAAAAAAAAAAAAAAAAAAGCTTTAAAGCTTTTCTTCTTTATTTGTAAAGTATACAAGCCAATATCATAAATAAGCTGTCTATTTATTTGTTTATTATATCAATGATATTCTCCCAGATACAGTGTGGTTCAGGAAGTATCTAGTGATAATCAGCATGGATTCAGTTTATGTTCTATCTTGTATTTTAGATTTTTTGGGTTCTACCTAGAGACACATAAATAATTAATTTGTAGTGCTAAAACTTCAAAAAACTAAAAAGAGAAGAAGGAATATAGTTACTGACATAATATTATATAGTGATTTAAGAGTGACTTAACAAGATTCAAGATAGCTGGGTACACTTGATTACTTACTGCATAAATGGTAGGGTTAAACAAACACACAGGAGGCCCTCCCATTGAGTCACCAGGTTCAGAGTGGACCCCCTTACTTCCTAACCTTCTTGAACCAGGGAGGTAAGGAGCCTAGTTGCATCTGGATCCACTCCTAGTCCCTAGACTTAGCCAACAGCTTGCATCTGAGGGATTTTATGTACACAATCAATCAAAGATTTAATCTTAGCAAAATTGACGAATCATATGATCACATATGATCTTAGTGAATCTATCAAGGCCTAAACCAAACTATTAGTCACTTACCAAAGATTTGTACTGGCAAGGTGTCTTGTCATCAACATGTAAGGGATCTCTGTGCAGGTGTAGCCTTGAGAGACATCCTCACTCAAGGAAGAATCCCATTTTGCATTCAGCTACCACATAGGCAAACTCATGGGAGTCTTGAGCTGCTCTCTATTTATGGGATGATTGACTCATAGTCATACTTTTATTTATTTATTTATTTATTTATTTATTTATTTAAAAAAAGGCACATGCCCAAATAGCCCTCAGCTGTTGACCCAGGTGACTGTTATCAGTTCATTCAGCCTACTCAGTTTGAGACAGATTTGTGGTTGTTACTCTGTTTTTATGAGTGCTGTCAGCATTGTTACTCATAGTTTGCTGTGCAAGGTGAGACCAGAGTAGGGAGTTGGGAGAAAGAAAGGGGGTAGGGGGGAGCACATCATGACATTCATCCCTAAATGTTTATAGTATTGCGTCTTTTAAAATTGTTATGCTAGGGTCTATAGTGAGATGTGACTTAATTCACAGGAAACTGCTGATGTTTTGATTCTTTAAAACAATTCAGTAGTTAGATGACAATTCTGTAATAAATTTGTGGGCTTGTATCTTAGCTATGAGGCTAATTTGGTATATGTATATTATTTAAGCTCTAATTAGCAATGCAAGAACATTATAAAATTGCAAAGCGCTTTGAATTTCATATGTATTATGTAAGGAGTAAATATCATTCTTAATTCACTTTCAGTGGGAAAGAATCTCAGTAATATACACACATTATGTCATGTTTGAATTACAGCCTGTTTTTACTCTAAGTCATACTAATATACTAGTCTAGAGAGAATCCATGCCTGTGGAATTTTCCTAACTGGAAACATATATGGGTAAGAATCCACAACCATGACCATCCTACTTGTGAAGATGCAGTATATATACGGACTAGAATTTCTTCACCAGTTAAACTAGATGCAGCAGCTACATATTCTAGTCTAAAAGTTGTTTCACTCTTTGTGAAACAAAGAGTTGTTACTCTTTCAAACAAATACAGGAATTAAGCCTTTTAATCTTTTCTTTCAGTTCTTTGAAATAAAAAACTCTGCATGGAGGAATACAGATTATGTATGGGTAACACGTATCTACCAGTGGAAACGCTTTGTTCCAAAGAATATAATAAACATCAGCACTTCCTTCAGGTTGCAGTCATTACTCTACCTTTCAGAAAGGAGTTGGATTCGATGATCATTATGGGTCCCTTCCAATTCAGAATATTCTGTGATTCTCTGAAGACCAGAAACCTCCTGTGTCCCTTAGTTGTTGAAGTAATAGGAAAAAAAATGTATTCATTATATTTGCTTTCAGATATTAAAAAGTAAGTAAATCAGAAAAGCCTCTCAAAATAGATCACAGGAATCTTTCAGCTTCTAAGAAGTTGAGGCACAATATCAGGGGTTATTCATTTCATTAATCTTTCACAGTAGAGAATATTCACATAGACTGAATATTCAGTCTGTTCATTATAATTTTAATTCAATCATATTATATTGCCTTTATAATTTTAAGTGTATTCTTGTAATCCAAGAGTTTGTCACTATGTTCATCACAGTAAATATGTGTACTTCCAAGTATGTGTACTTTCACTAAGTAAATATGGGTACTTTCAGAAATGATGCCTCAGTTTAGTAACAGATGCTTCTTAAAATATTTAGAATTCTAAAGTGCAAAGCAGCCGTCAGTAGCATTCTGATTTGTGTATAAATATTTATTTATCACACGTTCTGGCCAATGTACTGCCCTTGATTTTTGTGCAAAACTTACAGTAACTTCAATGGAAAATCTGAGCTCACGACTAGAAAAAAATATGTCAAATTCCGCAGCCCAGCTGCTTTTACATTCCAGAACAGTAAGCAGTGCCTCTAATGAAGGAGATGGATAAGTATGGGAATTTATGTTTTACTTTTTTATGTATTACTTTTAGCTTTCTGTTGCTGGGCAAACAGCTCATATTAGAGCAGATTATGGGCTAGCACAATTCTCTTCAGATACTTTCACCTGGATTCCTACCAATTGGAACAGAATAGTGATATAAACATAAGAAACCAGTGGCCAGTACTTAATGTTTTAGAAATAGTTGCTAGAAATCCTGTGAGACTGGTATATGATAACATCTCTATGAGGAAGTGTCCCTCTTAAATCTGTAGTGCAGCTTAATCTCTTTAAATGTAGTTTCTAGCATTTCAAAAATGTCTTCTCATTTTTATCATTTTCTTATGGTTCTCTATGTGTCTCAGAAACCAGATACGAGTAACGGAAATGCTGCATCTAGTAGAAATTCTCTACTAGTGAAAAACAGGAAAAAAAAGAAAAAAGAAAAAAAAAGGTAGACAACCCCCTTAGGAAGATTTGGACAACTGTGAAATATGAGATGAAAAAACTCTTAGTTATTACAGCATCATAAAAAGCATAAAAAGTCAACAAAATTGCAGATGGTCCTTTCAAAATATGACAGACTGATTGTAACAAAGTTTCTACACCAATATCTAGAATTCTATTGCT